TCCTTCTATCATCTATTTTTATCTCTGTCTTCACCAGTTGCCTTATTGCCTCTTGTGTCATCATCTGTATCACCCAACCTCATATGAACATCGCTAGCCTCTTTTTTCTCTCTCTCTATCCCTTCCTGCTTCCTCCCTCTTTCTGCTCCTTCGTTATCACTGTTCCTTCACCATTCTTCTCCTCTCCAGCTCCTTCGTTATCTTTCTCATTTCCTCTCCAACTTCCTGAGCCCTTCAGCCATGATCATCTATTCTCATTATTTGCTCTTAAATCTTTTCTCGGTTTCCTCAAAGAGTATCTTCTTTCCCATTTTTTTTGTTTATTTTGCTCTTCAATTCAATTAATATCAGTACTAAATGTTACAACCCACATCCTTCTTCCTCCTCATTCTGCTTTTCCCTCCTTTAAGTTGTTCTATTTTACATTCCCCATGCCTTTTGGTGTGAGCTCTACCTACAGTGGAGAAAATCAATACCATGCATGGTTTTATGTAACACTGAGAATAATTGCAGTCAGCAGGATTCAAAGCCATATCAGGAAGGCTGGCTGGCAAGGTTCCCAAGTGACGCTCTACACCACTAAGCCACAGATGCCTCAAGAGCTGGGCAGCTATGTTTCTCCCAGTCTGGGTGGCCAGGCTGTCCAGCTTTTGAGGCATCTGTGGCCGAGTGGTGTAGTGTGTCACTTGGTAACCTTGTCAGCCTTCCTGACCTGGCTTAGAGTCACGCTGGTCACAATTATTCACTATATATACCAGCTTCTTTCTGCGTGGTACATAGTTGTACATAATATACAGGCCGTCACAACCTTTCAACCCAACAATGGTTGGCCTAGGAGACAACTTACATGCCTTCAACAAAAACACAAAGTGATACTTCTCTCAATATTAAAATTTTTTTGTAGTTTTTTGCATTACACACTCATAAAACAGAGTTATAATATTGTGTTCCTACTAAACAATGAACTCATCTCTGGTAAAGGAAGAGAATAGTGGGAGAAACAGTTGTAAGGTGACATCTCTCACAGACATGATCACACCCTGTCTCCAAGGATTATAAACAATTTTATGTATCTAATATTTATTTTAGCATGCCCACCGAGGCAGCGTGACCCAAAAAAGAAAAACACTTTCACCATCATTCAAATATAATCATTGTCTTTGCAGAGGTGCCCAGTAAGGCAGTTTGGATGTCACTCCAAACAGCCAATATCCCAAACCCCTCCTCTAAAGTTCAGGCATTGTACTTCCCACCTCCAGGACTCAAGTCCACCTAACCAGTGTTCCTGAATCCCTCCACAAAATATTAACCTGCTCACACCCCAACAGCTCGTCAGGTTCCGAAAACTACTCTTTTCCATTCACTCGTAACACATACACACATGCCTACTGCATGTCCAGGCCCCTTGCACACAAAACCTCTTTTACCCACTCCATTCATCCTTTCCTAGGATGACCCCCTACCCCTCCTCCACAGATTTATACCCTCCAAGTCATTCTATTTTGCTCTTTCCTCTCTAAATGACCAAACCACCCCAATAACCCCTCTGCCCACTTAATAATACTTTTAATAACTCCACACCTACTCCTAATTTCCACACTATGAATTCGTGCTGAATAGGTAAAACTTGCAATTTTGGCTTAAATAGCAATGCTCTTCTTGCCGAATAAGACAAGCGAAAATTGACTACTTTTACCTATTTGGCATGACATGTGTGTGTGTGTGTATATATATATATATATATATATATATATATAATATATATATATAATATATATATATATATATATATTATATATATATATTAACAAGTCGGCCATCTCCCACCGAGGCAGTGTGACCCAAAAAGAAAATACTTTCATCATTCAACACTTTCACCTCACTCACACTTCATCACTGTTTTTGCAGAGGTGCTCAGAACACAACAGTTTAGAAGTATATACGTATAAAGATACACAATATATCCCTCCAAACTGCCAATATCCCAAACCTTCCCTTTAGAGTGCAGTCACTGTACTTTCCATTTCCAGGGCTCAAGTCCGGCTATATAAAATAACCGGTTTCCCTGAATCCCTTCACTAAATATTACCCTGCTCACACTCCAACAGATCGTCAGGTCCCAAATACCATTCGTCTCCATTCACTCCTATCTAACACGCTCACGCACACTTGCTGGAAGTCCAAGCCCCTCGCCCACAAAACCTCCTTTACCCCCTCCCTCCAACCCTTTCGAGGACGACCCCTACCCCGCCATCCTTTCCCTACAGATTTATACGCTCTCCATGTCATTCTACTTTGATCCATTCTCTCTAAATGACCAAACCACCTCAACAACCCCTCTTCAGCCCTCTGACTAATACTTTTATTAACTCCACACCTTCTAATTTCCACGCTCCGAATTTTCTGCATAATATTTACACCACACATTGCCCTTAGACAGGACATCTCCACTGCCTCCAACCGCCTCCTCGCTGCAGCATTTACCACCCAAGCTTCACACCCATATAAGAGTGTTGGTACCACTATACAGTGGACCCCCGCTTAACGATCACCTCCAAATGCGACCAATTATGTAAGTGTATTTATGTAAGTGCGTTTGTACGTGTATGTTTGGGGGTCTGAAATGGACTAATCTACTTCACAATATTCCTTATGGGAAAAAATTCGGTCAGTACTGGCACCTGAACATACTACTGGAATGAAAAAAGTTCGTTAACCGGGGGTCCACTGTACTTTCATACATTCCCTTCTTTGCTTCCATAGATAACTTTCTTTGTCTCCACATATACATACCTCAATGCACCACTCACCTTTTTTCCCTCGTCAATTCTATGATTAACCTCACCTTTCATAAATCCATCTGCTGATACATCAACTCCCAAATATCTGAAAAAATTCACTTCTTCCATACTCCTCCTCCCCAATTTGATATCCAATTTTTCTTTATCTAAATCATTTGATACCCTCATCACCTTACTGTCTTCTTTGTTCACTTTCAACTTTCTACCTTTACACACACTCCCAAATTCATCCACTAACCTTTGCAATTTTTCTTTAGAATCTCCCATAAGCACAGTATCATCAGCAAAAAGTAACTCACTTCCCATTTTGTATTTGATTCCCAATAATTTAATCTCACCCCTCTCCCAAACACCCTAGCATTTACTTCTTTTACAATCCCATTTATAAATATATTAAACAACCATGGTGACATTACACATCCCTGTCTAAGACCGACTTTTACCGGGAAGTAGTCTCCCTCTCTTCTACACACCCTAACCTGAGCCTCACTGTCCTCATAAAAACTCTTTACAGCATTTGGTAACTTACCACCTATTCCATATACTTGCAACATCTGCCACATTGCTCCCCTATCCACTATCATATGCCTTTTCTAATTCCACAAGTGCAATAAAAACTTCCCTACCTTTATCTAAATACTGTTCACATATATGCTTCAATGTAAATACCTGATCTACACATCCCCTACCCACTCTGAAACCTCCTTGCTCATCTGGAATCCTATATTCTGTCTTACCTCTAATTCTTTCAATAATAACCCTACAGTACCCTTTTCCTGGTATACTCAGTAAACTAATTACTCTATAATTTTTACAATTTCTTTTGTCCCCCTTCCCCTTATATAAAGAGACTATACATGCTCTCTGCCAATCCTTAGGTACCTTCCCCTCTTTCATACATTTATTAAACAAAAATATCAACCATTCCAACACTATATCCCCCCCTGATTTTAACATTTCTGTCATGATCCCATCAGTTCCAGCTGCTGTACACAAACAAGCAATACAAGATGCAAAACAACCACAGGTGGAGTTGAATGATAGTTCTAGGCCTTTTGTGTTGCAATCAACACATCAGCAGGTTGCACTGATGTAGAAAAGAGGAGGACGTCCAAGGAAATACAGTCACGGGAAAAGCAAGAGCTTTTCCTGTGACGATATTTGCTTGGACCACCTCTTCTTTTCTTTATCATTGCAAGCTCCTGATGTGTTGATTGCAACACAAAAGGCCTAGAACTATCATTCACTTCCCCCCGTGGTTATTTTGTACATATTTACGTAGGACATAAGCTAAGCAGTAACATGGGGAGAGTCTAAGTAAAGTTAAACCCCGTGACATCACTCAAAACATACACCAATGGAACTCAAAAAACAAATGCATTATTCATATTTTAAGTTTTGACCAATTCTTTATACAAACATATGAGAGACCAACACACATAAATAACAAACATACACAAAATATCACTGCATATTGTATAAAAAGCAGAAAAATAGCAAGTACAATTTAGCCATAAAAATCATGCAGTAATTATAACTACAGTTTTTTACCATTATTTACCAAACAAATGAACATATGCAAAATATGAATTCATATAGTAAACATTTGCAATTATCATAACTGCAGATCAGCATTTGTACATCATGAATTAGTTCCAAAGTGCTAATGTTCCCAAGTGTGGAACATTGCAAGTTGGGGATCCAATATCTATGCAAGATCTCAATGTTGGTTTTAGGAAAATATATAGATCTGTAATGCAAAGAAGAACTGGTTGTCACGACTACTAGTAAGCCAGATACAGGTGCTTACTACAACCCACACAGGATAACTACAGCCCCTACAAATCACACCCCATCAATAATGACTTACCTTCAACTACCAGCCAGAGAATTACTCAACCTTAACTACAAAGTATTACTTGCTCCAAACTACAAGTAACAAGTATTACTTGCTCTCCACTACTAGACATTACTCACCATCCACTGATAATATAGGGAATTACTTGTCCTCTAATAACCTTAAAAAGCATTGCTTGTCCTTTACTAGTAGTACAAGGTACATTTATGTATTACTTCCCTTCTACTAGTACAAGATATTACTTATCCCATAACAGGTGACTTGCCCTCTACTTTCAGCACTTGCTGTAAGCTGACTAAGAGTTATAACCCTTACTTTAAGGTCACATACCCACCACTAACCTTGAAAGACCTACTGCCAGTGTTGTCAGCAGCCATAGAAGGAGCAGAAGAGCTGTCTTTATTGCGGAAGCTAGTTATGTCTGAAGGAGAAGACCAGAAGCGCTTCTTGCCATCAGAATTTAAACACTTTCTTGACACACGGGCACTGTGGCTACCTTTGGCAGTCTTCGTTTTAGAGACAATAGGTTTTGTCTTAGGAGCTGCCTGCTTGCAGTTGTCATTGCTTGACACTTTGCATTTATGTGTAGATTTTCTATGAATCTTTTTGGTTGCCACACAATTCTGAACAAAGCCATTGCATGTAAGGGAATTTACTTTTTTAGAATTCAGTGTTTCATGATGATGATCACCTGCTTTTGTTGGTATAGTGGTTGGTTTAATTTTTCCATTTTGGAAACAAGTTGGCAAAGGTGTTTGTTGAACAACATGTGAAACTTCAGACTGACCGAGAGGTGATGTAGGTGGCATATTTTGATGATGGAGAATCTTGGAAGTGCACTGCATGCATGAAACAACAGGAACACCACAATGAAAATTTAAAATGGCCATGCTGTGGCATAAAATCTTTATACAAAGAGTTGCTACTAACTCTTAGACATCAGGCAGTACTACAATGAACAAATTACGACATTAATTTATGTACAGTATATCATATTGTTTCTTGCTATTGTCTATGTGGATCAGCAAGCAGTATCATAAGCACAGCTAGATACAGTAGATTATTTGGAATTAGAAATTTTGTACAATGTGAATCAATAGGTACAATATACTCTTCAGAATACTGGTTGTGAAAGATCAAGTAAAGCCAAAATATATTACACTATCAAAATCATCCCTGATAATTCACTGAACATAATGTTAGGTATCTATACCAGCTGAGGGTCAAGAACTGATCTTCCCTATACCTCTAATGGATGTGACCAATATTGCATGCTTTCAGCATCCTGCTCTCTGATAAGAATGTCATTAATGTCTCATGCAATGATTTCATTAATGGCCAGTTTGAACATTAAAAGCATACAAAGAAGGGTTTCATGTAAAACGATTTCATACTGAACACATTACATAACAATATCAGGTGATGCTTGTAATATTGCACAGTATGTTATAATAAGACTAGTAGTGTGAATATAATATGCATGTATATTACAACTCAGAGAGGGAGCCAAATTATTGCTGCATCATCAAGGAAGAAGAGAAAGTCAGATCAACATTACAATATACACTGAAGCAGAGGAGAGAGAGAGAGAGAGAGAGAGAGAGAGAGAGAGAGAGAGAGAGAGAGAAAGAATGAGAGAGAGAAGGAGTGTAAGAGTAAGCAAGATATACAAGGGCTTGATCACAAATCTACTCAATGCCATATTAACTTAGCGAAATGAGAGATATGGTAGGATATGTAAAACAGACCCAGTGAAAAGCAGACACATCACACAAACAGTAGGAGAACAATGTCAACATCCATGGTCCCAGACTCTTCAACCTGCTGCCAGCAGATATTAGAAATATTGCCAAATAAATTTTTAGAAATTTTCAATAAGAAACTGGAGCACTACCTCTGCAAGGTGCCACATCAACCAAGCTGTGATAGCTATGCAAGTCAGTGAACTGCTAACAACAACAGCCTGATTAACAGGCAATCAGTATGCCTTAACATTGATTAAGAGGGAGAGAAAGTCATAATAGCCATGCGTGTACTAAGGAGAAAGGGAAAAAAAATCTTAAATCATTAAAACTCTCCTGTGAAAATAAATCTAAGGAGGCAATGGAAGATTATACAAAAACCATCAGTCAACTAGCAGAAAACACTTACTACTATGTAACTACACAAGGAGAGAGAAATAATCAGAACTCAGAACCTCAACACATTTTTATCTAGTGAGCTTTACATTTCTACATGTTTTTCAAGATATCAGACTCACTAAGCATAAAAACTTTGTAGTCCAAAGCAACCAGGAAGAAAACAATAAACACACTGAAGTAATTATATGACAACTGTGTAATTGGCCTCTTACTCATATGAAGGACAAATGTATAGCTGAAGAATTGGAAAATCTCAAAGTTAAAAAATGCTACAAGTCACCACCGCAAAATATTTCAAAAATTTAAATCTTCTAGAGCAGACTTCTGGCTTAGAAATATCCATCATAAAAAAGTTACAACAGCAGTGTCAAATCTAGCCATAAGCAGAATGTACAATACAATAACAGAGTCATGAAGTTTCTTTCAAATGTACACATCACCAGAGGAAGTTTAAAAGAATTAAAGAGTCCACAGCAATCCTTAAAGAGAGAAAGAGAGGAGAGGAGAGAGAGAGGGAGGAGAGGAGAGGAGAGAGAGAGAGGAGAGGAGAGAGAGAGGAGAGAGAGAGAGGGAGGAGGAGAGAGAGAGGAGAGAGAGAGAGGAGAGGAGAGAGAGAGAGAGGAGAGAGAGAGGGGAGGAGAGGAGAGGAGGAGAGGAAGTGAGAGAGGAGAGAGGAGAGAGAGGGAGAGGAGAGGAGAGAGGAGAGGAGGAGAGAGAGAGGAGAGAGAGAGAGGAGAGGAGAGAGAGAGAGGAAGGAAAAGAGAGAGGAGAGGAGAGGAGAGAGAGGGGGAGAGGAAGAGAGAGAGAGAAAAGGAGAGAGAGGAGAGAGGAGAGAGAGAGAAGAGAGAGAGAGAGAGAGAGGAGAGGAGAGAGGGGGAGAGGAGAGAGAGAAAAGAGAGAGGAGAGAGAGAGAGAGAGGAAGAAGGAGAGGAGAGAGAGAGGAGAGAGAGAGGGGAGAGGAGAGAGAGAGAGAGAGGAGAGAGAGAGAGAGGGAGAGGGGAGAGAGAGAGAGGAGAAGAGGAGAGTAGAGAGGAGAGAGAGAGAGGAGAGAGGGGAGAAGAGAGGAGGAGGAGAGTAGAGAGAAGGAGAGTGAGAGAGAGAGAGAGAGAGGAGAGAGACGAGGAGAAGAAGGCATGAGAGAGAGTAAAGAAAGAGAGAGAGAGAGAGAGGAAAGAGGAGAGAGGAGAGAGAGAGAGAGAGAGAGAGACTGAGACTGACTGGGATGCTTATTACAATGGGGCATCAGCAGTTACATTGAGTAGCACTCACCATAGAATATGAGCGTGACTGTGAGCGCAGGGAAGCACTGGAAAGCCCACCTGACTCTGAGTCAGAGTCGGAGAGGAGGCGAGGCAGATCACCGTAGCTTGCCCTCTGTTAGTGAGTTAAATCCATTCAAAGCTAGAACTTAAAGTCAGTGCTGGTCATAACAGGCAATGACTATTTATATGTCAACAATATTATAAGATTTGTCAAATTACTTCAAACATATCTATTAGTCAAATCAGGTCAAACTTGACTAGTTTTGCAATAAATTCAGTCAAATTAACTGTTATTTCAGGTCATATTTAACAAACTGTTTGTTCATTTAGTGTTAGATAGTCCTCATAAGGTCAATGCTACCATATATTTTTAAGACATTCAAAAACTACTTTGCAATATTAGTACAGCAACTAGATATAAAATTTCATTATTCTCTGTCAACAAATTTTACTATTTATGAAGCATGTTAATTAAACCTTATAAAACTTTCAAACAGGTGTTAATACAGCATGTTAGCAAAGTTAGTTCACATTCAGAAATATAATCTGCAAAACAAAAGTTAGTAAATGAATGCATCTCTTAGAGACAAAGAGCTAAATATCAAGCAAATACAACAAACAATTACATGCACATATCGCTACACATTCACTGATATGACACTACTTCCTGCACCTTGAACTTTAATGTTTTCCAGACCTTCACTTCATAAAATATGCAACTTGCCTGGCTCCCAGAACATCAGTTCTTCAATATGCAGCACGACCCTCAGGATGTGTTTTTGTAATCTCTCCTTCATAGTCCGACAAACCTTTATTTTCATCTCCTTTTTTCTTTAAATAACATTCATTCTTGCCTACGATGATGCTTTCTTATCTTGTGTTCTATCTCCCCGCACCCACTTTTTTTTTATCATTCATCAAATTTGTCTTCAATCCAATAAACTTTGACAATACTAGATTTTAGAAACCCACTAAAGGTAATCTCACTGCCTTCCGTATTAAATCTTACTTTCTTTTCAGTAAAGAAACTCTTATTTCATGTTTTTTACAACATTAGTCTTCATAATTCTCCAATTCAACCATAATTCTTTTTACTAGGTCATCTTGACCTTCAAGGTGTTGCTATATACATTATGTTCCTCTGCCTACTCTCCACCTTAGCATAATTCCTCTTTCTACCGTAACATCTTAGCCCACCTGGCAATGCCATTAAGAAATATGGAATCTTTACCAAGATGTGCATTCTCTCTCACTATTTCTTTTACCTGTAACTAATTGCAATACTTAAGTCCTTTTTTTATGTATATTTTCCTTTCAATATATATTTATGTTCATTTAAATCAAAGCTCCTAGAATTCAAATTCAAAAGCACTACCTTCCTCTCCAGGAAAACTGAAGTGTGTCCAGTACCAGATTAACTTTCAAAATTAATTAACTTCAAAAATCACTTGAAGCACAGAACTGCAGAGTATTTGGTTAGATCATAATGCTATGCTGTATTTGCAACGATCATACTTTGTATGGTGAATGAAGCCTCTTAATTAAGGGAGAGATAACCTAACATTATTATTATTATAATCAAAAAGAAGCGCTAAGCCACAAGGGCTATACAGCGCTGCAGGGTAGGGAAGGAAGCGAGGGTATTGAGCGGCAGAAGGGGGAAGGGATGATCAGTAGGTTACAGAAAACAGCGGGGTAGGAGATAGTGCGGGGGTAGAGGGCAGCAAGAGATTGAGGTAGAAAGGGCTGAAGGTATCAGAGTTTGTGAAGTAAGTCAGTTGTTTTCAAAAAGTCAATGAGAGAGTCCGGATGAAAGGTGGGTCCATCAGCGAGAAGGGAAGGTAAAGAGAGAGCAGTGGAGCGAAGACGACGTTGGAGGTATATCCTGCGTGCTCGTTGATAAAGTGGGCAGTCTAATAGAATGTGGTGAACCGATAATGGAATCTGACAATTCTCAGAGAGGAGCAGGGCGCCTCTCCATGAGATAACCATGAGTAAGACTAGTATGGCCAATGCGAAGATGGGAGAGAGTAGTCTCCCAACCTCGACACTGGTGACAAGAAGACGGCCAGTAACCTATACTTGGTTTAATAGATTGAAGTTTGTTACTGAGCAGAGTAGACCAACGTTGTTGCCAACGGGTGTGAAGGTGGGTAGCTATTGCAGCAAAATAGTCAGTAAATGGAACACCTCTATATGACACTGGTAGGTCATGTACTGCTGACCATGCAGCAGTGTCTGCCTGTTCATTGCCCTGTATGTCAATGTGACCAGGGACCCAACAAAAAACAATATCTTTATGCTTGGAAGAGATGCAGCATGGCCAAAGTTGGATACGGAGGACTAAGGGGTGAGGTGTGTCAAATTTCTGTATAGCCTGTAAAGCACTAAGGGAGTCTGAGACAACCACAAATGATGACACAGGCATAGATGCAATACGGATAAGTGCTGCAAGAATGGCATACAATTCAACAGTAAAGATACTAGCCGAAGATAGTAAATGCCCTCGTACCACGCTGTCCGGAAACACTGCTGCGAATCCTACGCCATCAGAAGACTTAGAGCCATCTGTGTACACTGCAATGGCATGAGAATGAGAGTGGAAGTGGTCAAGAAAAAGAGAGCGGGAAGCTACTGTAGACAGTTGGGCTTTCAAGCAAGGGAGTGAGAAAGAACAGACTCAAGCAGCTGGAACTTCCCAGGGGGGTAGGGAAAAGTGAGATGCTACACGAACATAGAAAGGTGGTAATTGAAGAGAAGACAAGAGCGAATGTAGGTGAAGGGAGAAGGGACGGAGCAAACAGGGGCGGTGAACAAATAAAGAATGTCTACTAATATCGGTGACCATTCTATAAATGGAAGGATTGTGGAGATCATGAGAGCGTACATAGTAGCGAAGGCAATGGGCATCACAGCGATCGGATAAAGATGGAACATTCGCTTCTGTATAGAGGCTTTCAACAGAGGAAGAGCGAAAAGCACAAAGGCATAAACGTAATCCTTGGTGATGAATGGGGTTAAGGCTAGAGAGAGTAGCAGGAGAGGCCGTTAATAGATCTGGTCACCATAATCAAGTTTTGATAAAATGAGGGCGGAATGTAGGCGAAGGAGAGTGCGACAATCGGCTCCCCATGAAAGATGAGCAAGGGTTTTAAGAAGGTTCAGCCGGCTGTGACAAATTGCCTTCAGAGAGGTAATGTGAGGTTTCCAGGATAACCTACGGTCAAAGAGGAGGCCTAGAAACCTGACTGTATTACGGTCAGGGATACGGGAGCCATAGAGGTACAAAGGATGATCGGAGATGACAGAGCGTCTAGTGAAATTAATTTGGTGAGTTTTGGTGCTGGAAAATTTAAACCCATGTGTGGTGGCCCAATTGGAAACACGGTCGACCGCATGTTGGAGAGAAACTGTAATGAGGTGACAGTCAGCGCCTGCACATGCAATAGCGAAGTCATCAACATAGAGTGATGACCAAATATTGGATGGAAGACTAGAGGCCAAATCATTTATAGCAAGGAGAAAAAGTGTTGTGCTCAGAACACATCCCTGGGGGACACCTTCAGCTTGGATCAAGTCCGGGGAGAGCACATTATTAACCCGAACACGGAAATGTCTGTCAGTTAAAAAGTTCTTAAGGAAGGATGGTATATTGCCTCGAAGGCCTAAGGAGTGGGCTTGGGCCAAAATATTATACCTCCAAGTTGTGTCATATGCCTTCTCTAGGTCAAAAAATATGGCAATAACTGAGTGGTTATTCGCAAAGGCATTACGAACATACGTATCTGCAAACTGCACTGGTAAGAGCAATGGGACGATAGTGGGAGGTTTCATGTCCCGTAGTACCCGGTTTGCGGAAAGGGAGAACAATAGCAGATTTCCACAGCTGTGGAAGAACTCCCTGTGACCAAACAAGATTGAAAAGGCATAATAGGACTGCAAGGGCTGACTGATGTAAATGTTGTAGCATACGAATATGAATGTCGTCGGGCCCAGCTGCCGATGATCGGCAAGCTGAGAGTGTTGCCTCCAGTTCCTGAAGTGTAAAAAGCACATTATACTGTTCTTCTCCGAGAGAACAAAAGTCCAAGGGTGCTAACTCTCTGGCAGACTTTGAGGAAAGAAACGAGGGGCATAGATGGAGCCCCTGAGAAATATGGACCAGATGATTGCCAATTTTATTGGCAACATCCAGTGGGTTTGCCATATCAACACCGGCAACCCGCAGAACAGGAGCCAGGTCAGGAGAATATTTACCACTCAGTTTTCATACTTTTTTCCAGACTGCACTCACAGAGGAAGCAAAGGTGATGGTGGAGACAATCTCGCCAGCAAGTGCGTTTAGCGTCACGGATGACACGGAGAGCGATCGCATGCTTCTGCTTAAAATCAAGAAGTCTCTCCGTGGTTCTATTGTACCGGTACCTGCCCCACACAGCGCGTTTGAAACGTACTGCACGAGCACAAGCAGGAGACCACCAAGGCACGCATTTCTGAGAATGCCTGCCCGAAGTTTGGGGTATAGAATGAGAAGCTGCGGTTAAAACGGAGGACGAGAAGAGGTGTAAAAGCTCATCAATGGAGGACGAAGAAGGAACCTCACTAAAAATAGTTAGTTGTGAGTAAAGGTTCCAATTTGCCTGATCAAATTGTCAGCATGGGTTATGAAGAGGTGGTGAATATGAAGGGGAAGTAAGAATGATTGGGAAATGATCGCTGTCATGTAAATCCGGGAGAACAGACCAGGTGAAGTCTAATGCGGCGGAGGAAGAGCAGACTGAGAGATCGATGCAAGAGAGAGTATAAGTCCGAGGATCAAAATGGGTGTGAGTACCTGTATTTAAAACATGGAGGGGGTGGGTAGCAAGAAAAGCCTCTAACTGAATGCCACGGGAATCACAGTGAGACCCGCCTCCCCCAGAGGAAATGATGGGCATTAAAATCGCCAAGTAACAGAAGTGGTGGCGGTAATGACGAGACAAGAAAGGCAATATCTGGGATAGATAATGCCCGAGGAGAGAGATACAAAGAACAGAGTGTATACCACCTATGCAAGTGTATACGGGCTGCTGTGTAATGCTGCGAAGTACAAACAAATAGCTGACGGTATGGAATATCAGTGCGTAGAAGAAGGGCACTTTCATTAAAGGTCCCATCAGGAAAAGGATCTGAAGAATACAAATTATAGCCTGAGATGGGATAGATAACGGCAGAGTGTAATTTTGGTTCCTGTAAGCAAACACCAACAGGGGAAAACTGGGAGAGCAACATCTGAAGTTCACCCCGATTACCCCTGAGGCCGCGAATATTCCACTGTAAATAGGCCATGATTGGCAACGATGAAGATACCTGAAATCCGCAGGCAAGGGTACCTACTGACTAGAGGGGTTAGAAAAGTCCACATGCAGTGGCAAAGGAAAACGTTTAAGTAGCGAAGGAACGGTGCGTTGTGAAGAAAGGAGTTGCGCAGATGGAGAAGAGGAAAGAGAAGGAACAGAGGGTGGATCAGTGTCCATTGATGTTTGATCTCTGCAATATATTCAGAGATTGCTTCAAGTGTTTCGGAGTTCAGAGATGTCGTATGGGAGACAATATTGGAGATGGAAGGAGGAGTAGTTTGAGTAAAGATCGGAGCTGTAATGGACTGTACCAAGGTAGGGAGGGGGGGGGGCGAAGGGGTGGAGGGAACTGGAGAAGTGTGGGAGGGGACAGAAGAGGCAGAAACCTGGGAGGTGGCAGAAGAGGAAGAAACTTGGGAGGGGACAGGGGAGGAAGGCACAGTACGAGGAGGAGGATGAACCTCCACACTTGTAACAGAGCCAGTGAAAGGGGAAGACCCAGGTACAGAGACAGGGAAGGTAAAATGTGGAGGTGGATGAAGGGAAGGAGAGGTTAAAGGAGATTTTTTGGACTTCTGAGAAGTAGAGGGGCAATTGGGAGGAGGTGTCGTACGAGGTATTGTTGATACCGGGGTTTGTGAGGGAGAACACGAAGAAGTGAGGACAGACTGAGGAGTTGAAGTAGGGACGTCTGAGCCCAAGACAGCAAAAGAATTAGATACAGGAGTGACTATGGGACTGGCAACTGCAGAGGAGGCTGCAGAAGATGTGACCCTAAAAGTGGGGGGACGCTTTGAAACACGAGAATATGAAACACGGGGCAGTCTCCCTTGGAGGTGGAGATGAGAAACCGCCATAGCATAAGGGAGACCTTCTGCCTCTTTGAGGCAACGAATTTCCCGCTCATTTAAGTAGACCTGGTAATGGCGAGAGTACAAAGGGTGAGCCTCATGACAATTAAGGCAAGAGAGAGTTCGACTGCAAGACGTATTAGAATGGTCTTCGGCACCACAGACTGGGCATTCGGCTATAGATCTGCAATATTTTGCTGGGTAGCCAAATCACCAGCAATTCCTACACTGTTGCGGTGTAGGGATCACCTTCCGAACTTGTAACCGATGTCCTCCTACATAAACAGAGGATGGGAGTTCACGGCTGTCAAAAGTTAAATGAGCCACATTGCAAGGGTATCGTCTTCGCTCGTGGGCAGGAAGAACACAAGTGTCTACCTTCAGAATTGGGAGATCTTGGAGTTCCAGCTGTTCGAGAATGTCAGTGCCACATGTCTGGAAATTCTGTTGGACTACGGTATGGGGCAGAATAACAGTACCACTACAAGAATTGAGGGAATGATGTTTTTCGATAGTGATAGGAATAGTATCGATATGTGAAAGAGAAAGATCATGAGCTTGGGTAGAATTCTGGACTGTGATGATGCGCGTACCACTCTTAAGAGCATGAAAGGAAATATCTCAACCAACGTGGCATAGGAGCGCTTTGCCAATACAGTGGTCCCTCGTTTTTCATAGTTTTCGGGAATCATAGATTTCGGAAATCATAGGGATATTTTCGTATAAACATGGGCTCGCTAATCATAGGCTGACTCGCGAATGGTAGTTCGTCTGGGACACATACGCATGGTGTGAGCCGGGGCGGCCTCCCTACCCAGCCAGTCTGGCATTGTTTACCAGTGAGTGAAGGTCCCCTCATGTGCTCCTATGAAATATTTCATAATATTCCATCATTTTAGTGCTTGCAAGTACTAAATAAGCTACCATGGCTCCAAAGACAGCTCCTAGTGCCAAGCCTGTGGTAAAGAAGGTGAGAAATATGACTGAATTTAAGAAAAAAATCTTGCTGCAGAGGAGAAGAGAGATGGAAGAAGGTGCCTTCTTCAGAAATTAAAGAGATTTTTGCTATGTGGGGTAAGATGGAAATGTTTATGGAGAAACATCACCCTGACAAGGTTGTTGCAAGCCATGTTGGCAACATGTACAGTGACAAAGTCTTGGGCCATTTTAGGGAGGTGTTAAAGAGACGCCAGAAACAGAGCTCTCTCCACAGTTATTTTGCGAGACAGGACTCCAGTGACTCTCAAGGTGGTCCTCGTGGCATTAAGAAACAGAGAAGAGAAGCAACCCCAGAAAAGCAATTGGTACCTGAGGTGTTGATGGAAGGGGATTCCCCTTCCAAACTATAAACAATCCACTCTCTCTCCTCCTCCAGTCTCCCATACACTAAGAAGAATCTCCAATAAAGGTAAGTGTTATGCTGTTAATGTTTCATTCATCATTTCCCACTGTATTGTTTATGTACTACATCTATGTTTCATGTAAAAAATTTTTTTGTTTTAATACTTCTGGGTGTCAGGAACGGATTAATTGTATTTACATTATTTCTTATGGGGAAAATTGATTCGAAAATCGTAGATTTCGATAATAGTAGCAACTACAGGAACGGATTAACTACGAAAAACGAGGGACCACTGTACTATGGTCGGAAAGATAGGCAGTAGAAGTCGGTCTTAATGTAAAGAATTTAGTCCATTGTGTGATCCGAAAGTGTAAAGAGGGAGTGCATGACGTGTCGGTCTCTTCCGAGTAGAATGGGAAGGTAACGAAGTAACATCATCAGGAGATTGTCGTTGACGTTTAGAAGTGGGACCAGAGTCGGTCCGACGTGGGACGGGCTGACGATTCGAAAATCGCTGCACCGTAGAGGGAGAAGCCGGAAGCATAGTCAAAGGAGAGCGGAGGTCAGACAAATCGAAGGAGTCAGTGGAAGCCCCGGTACCTGAAGCGGGTGAGGAAACAGCACCAGCAAGAGGTACAGGGGCCTTAGGAGTGTCCAAAGAGTGGCCAAAAGACGAGGCGAGGTCAGAACAGGGTGCGGTAACAGTAAGGGGCCCGGGGGTAGCGGGGTCATGGATTTGGGACTCCATGGTTAGGTTAATTCTTTATTTTTGTTATTTTTTTCTTAAAAAGAAAATAAAAATAAAAAAAGAATAAAAAAAGTGGGGACTGGGGAGGGATAGTTCCTAGGAGGAATGAAAGAGCCAGAAATTTCCCTCCGTGCCCAAGAGGACCTCAGCACTGCAAGTAGCGCAGATGCAGCATGGAACCCGTGCCATACCCTACCCTTCATGCCAGTAAACCAGAAATCCGGGATAGCAACCTCACATCTGCCGAGCTACCTCGGTGGACAAAAGACAGGGCGGCCGGATATCCGCCACAAAGCATACCTCCTTCGGCCACCACCCCCGGAATCCGAAAGGTGGCTTCCAGAGATACACCCGTCTCCCGAAAGACACCCAAAGCCACCCTCCGGGATACCGGAGAGGGATCGGGACATCCCCAGGCGATCCAGATCCCACGGCAAACTACGCCACCGCCAAGAACCTCAATGGAATGGGATGGACCCCAGTACCCTTCCCCCTACCTATGAACTAGTGTGCCTGTGGGAAAAATCCCAAAGGCCAAAAAGAGGAAGGGCAAAAGGGAGGGGTGGAGAGGAGGAGGAGGAAAAGAAAAAGGGGAGGATGGGGAGGATGGGATAGGGAAGGGGGGATTGGGGGGTGTAATTAGGTTCGGTCTGAGGAAGGAGACCAACAGGTCTAATTCCTCAGACCAAGAGCTTCTTCACCATGCCAAGGAGCCTCCCTTGAAGAGGAGATAACCTAACAAAATATAATCTGTTTTCTAAACTTACCAATTTTTTAACGGAGACTGAGAGAGTTGGAATGTCGTGACGAGGTTGAGCATGAGGAGGCGACGACGCAATAGGTTCATAAAGTCGTGTCAGATCAGAAAAGCTGCGTGTCTGTTCACCAACACAACACACACATGCAGGTTATATTACATGCTTTCTACTCCAATTACTGTACTTGTAACACTTTTGTAGAGCACAATGTACAGAAACTCAACAATTTGAACTTGCAGTATATTTTTTTATGGTCAGATATTTTTTGGTTGCAACAAGATTCACTGATACAAAAATCTAGATTTCTTATGGACAGAATAAAAAAAATATGCTCAAATGCTTAATTTAAGTGATAAGAAAGACTGAAGGCATGGCTGTATTGACAGCAAAGTTAGTTATACATGACTAGAGAAAAGTATAACTAAAGAACATTATATGAAACACATGTTAATTATAGCTAATTAAAAACTCAAAGCTTAATTTATACTTAAAAATTTGATTATTATACAAGTACTATTGTTTACTAACTTTTCTTCTGAAAGTGCCAAATTAAGGAGGCCAGGCAGTCAAAGAATTTTTAAAAAAAAATTTTTTAAAACAGCTTGAAAAATTAGTATAGTCCTTTCACAATATACTTGTATGATATATATACCAGCATTTTATGTGTGATTATTATAGTACAAGTGAAAAACATGCCCATAATTTACCCAAGTGTCATCACACAAGTGATAAGTATAAAAAATTCCCTATTTTTTATCATACAGGTATAACTATTTTATAGTAAATTTGTTTATTATAATTTAGGAATCACTAGAGAGGGAAGTTAAGAGGAAAGCAGCACCAATTAGTTATGCATCACATGTTGTTGAAGTCTGGCACAATGTGTGCCATATTCTCTGGGGCAATATTACATTATCAATATTTAATTTAGGAATAAACTACATAGTATACAGGAGACCACCAATTAAGATGGCAATTACGTTCTTGAAACGTCATCTAATTAAAAACTGCGTAAAATAAACTAAAGATTATGGGGGGAAAATAGAGTTAAATTCCTGGAACCCACCAAAAATGCCAAACATTTTCTAATTTCTTATTTCATCAAAAATCATGATTTTTTTTATTTAATATATGGTGTAAGTTAGTGTTTGACTCCAGCATTTGATGCAGTGTATCATCTATTTCCTCCACAGAAAATGAGCAGTGTGCTCCATCCAGGGAAAACTATGAAGGTTAATATGCTGCCAGTGACACTTATAAAAATTAATATACAATCTTATCAGTATGCAATCCAGTATGCAAAAATACTTGCAAGAAAGAATTTTACCCTACCTCAGTTATCCATACTAATTGATTAGACCTCTACTAAAGGTCAAAGAGCTTTTGTCTTTACCTTTTAAACCACAAGTGGTCTTGCAGGGAAATCCCCAGCAGCAGCATATTTGCACAATTTAAAGTTATGGAACCAGCCATAACTGAATACACCCTTGTTCAGGCCTGCCTTCCTTATTACACATTGTGATAATAGTATTCAAGGCTTTCTGCTTTATTATGAAACTAAGTGGTGCACTTTTCCCATCTTTCTGCTCAATCACTCACTCATTGATTTTTGTAATATTAGATTGTGACCTATGCGTCATTCCTTTTCAGGAGTTCACAACCTGAGTTACTATACAAGCTCTTATTTTTCACCTCATTTCTTTTCATTGTATGAATTAATGCTTTATTTAGACCAAGACTTTCATATTTATACTTTTCTAAAGTTCCAGCATCACCTGCATTCCTCTTGGGTACGATGGTTACTTTCCAGAGACGAGATGGGCTGATTAAACAGTCAAAAATCGATTCATTAACACACTCCCAAGTATGCTATGGGATGCATATGCATGGAGGGTGTGGGAGGCTGTTTACATTAAGAGTGTGACTAGGCCTCCCTCAAAGGCCTTGCCCATAGGTTGACCGCAAGACAGGAAAAAGGTCCTAATGTGTGATGTATTTTCCCCGAAATTTATTCCTTTCTAAATGGACATCATGGCGAAAAGTGTTAAAAGATCAAATCTTAATTGACTACCTACTCTAATTAATATTCCAGTGTACTCTATGGATAAAGATGTACAACAATCATAAAATTAAGTACAGCTATGGTATCCTATAATAAACTAGTGTACCGTATAACAACACAATGAATTCGCTAAGTTGTCATATGATTTAAGAGCATATACAATCTATTTTTTCTATTTATTTTATGCTATTTTTGTGAAATTTATGTCATATTTATTCGTGTTTCAAAAGAATTGTAAAAATTTAGATACATGTGCTTGGTCTGTGACCAATCAACCTCCTTAATTTCTCAGCACATACAAAAATGTACATTAAAAATAATATTGTTATTTAAAGGAAAAACTTTCATGAAAATAAAAATCTTATGATGTAAAAATTACAATAAACAAAATTATATTTAATAAAGCAGAAGACAATATTTACAAAATTCAGTATTTCCTTAGCGCATACCATATATTGGCTTTATCGAGTTATTCTGGGTTAATAACTTACGAATCTTAAAGGGTTTCTAATCCACAAAGCCTTCTACCTATTTCTCATTGCTATGAAAAACATCTTGAATTTCATTCAGCAGAAAAATACAAAGCAAAAATAGTAGGTCCCTGACTTACAATGTTCCAACTTTTACAACAGTGGCAACCAATTAATGATTTACAAATAATGATTTACAAATACTGAGCGATTCTTCCAACACACAGAGGACTTATGGGCAGATGACATGGCAGAAAAAAAACAGTGATGCAATTCTCAGCATTGCTGTAACACATCATTCACTATCATCTTCTTGTGTTTGTTGTATTTTAACAATATCTTTTTAAGTAGCACTCTAAACTGCTTTATACTGACATGGCCAGAGAAAACAGATATGAATGTGGGAAAATGCATCTAGTATATTTTGACTGAACCTTATACATAACTTGTTTTCAATTTAAAGTATCAGTCACCAAGTCAAACAGAATGGAAACCTGGCCAGATTAAGTTGGGTTGAGCCAACACATAGTTGGGACTATATTTGATTTAAAATTAAAGTATCCTGTGACAAATCAAAAGAAAATGGGCACCCCAGCCAGACTGAATTTTAAATTTTAAATTTTCTCAGTTGTTTCACATGTTTTATTGTATACATTACTTAACAATGTTTATTATTACTTATACGTGAAAAGGAACAGTAATGAATGTAAAGTGTTGCTTATGTCTTGGTTGATAGCATCCTCAGTTCACAAACTGAGGGTTCGAGATCAATCCCAGCACAAGTGAAAAGTTGGGCATCTTTCCTTACACCTGCTACCCTTGTTCACCTAGCAGTAAGTAGGTACCCGAGTGTTAGCTGACTGTTGTGGGTTGCATCCTGGGGGGACAACATTAGCCTATGTTGCCTGAAATGCACTGTGTAACCAGGGGCTTTCTATATAGTATTACAATGATACCAGGTAAGTCTTTATTAGTTGTATCACATACTTGTAGAAATAAAGATTATCATTAGTAGTAAAGGATATGAAGCAAGATACAGAAGATTTTGGCTCAGGACCTTGACTCCGATTATAACAAGTGTCTATAGGATAACGGGCTCCAAGTTTCCAATAACAGCCTTGCAAAGATTTTCAGAAACACTAACATTGTAAGTGGGGGACCCACTGTATCCATAACTGACCTAAGGCAAATTAAGTCAAAAGAAGCATAACCTTGAATTTGCAACTTTAACTAAAATGGAAGGGGAAAGGGGAGTGTGTTAAAGCCACCTCTGTTAAATCTGAATGATGAGACTGCTGTTCCCCAATCAAAACAATAATGGACAGTTCTGGATTTAGTGTACTTTGTCTGTTAAATTCAAAAAAACAATTAACCCAGTTTCTTGCATCAATAATGGACAATTCTGGACTTGAGAACTGCCCATAACAACTGCAGAAAATTCTGATTTAACTGTCTTCGTCCATTTTTCGGGTGTTGTCCAACCACAGATTTCATCCACTGAATCCAAAATAAATTAAATCGGGGTCAGTAGATATGGTGGGAATCGGCCAGTGTGATAAAAAAAAAAAAATGTAATGAATATAAGAGAAGAAAAAAAAAGGCCACATGAGGAATATAAATGGTAAGACAAAAAATATTACAACCCTCAGACAAAGTTGGAAGACCTAGGAGTCACTGATAAATGGTTATCATTAGAAGAACCTATTAGTGAAAGTATGAGAAACTTGTACAATAAACTGATCAGCTTTAAAAACTTCAAAATATATTGACTCATAGGGAGAAAAGGATCCTTGTGACACCCCACTGATGATACATTCTTATGACAGCAGTTTTTCTTCTATTACCGTGTGAATTTTCCTTACAAAACTCTCTCCATAATAATAGTTTTTCTTTTATATCTCCAATGTTTCACAGTTTCTTCATTAACCATTTATGAGAAACTTAATAGTTTTCTTGAAGTCTTAAAATAAATGTAATCCCTCTATGTATTTCTTGAATAATTTCTGTGACTACTTTTAACCCTTTGACTGTCACAAGCCCATTTCTGAAACTGTCATTCTATGTCACAAAATTTTTTGGAAAAAAAAAAATTATTTATTCTTATGAAATGATAGTGAATGGTAATGACACAAAAGGTACAAAATATGATCGAAAACTTACAGAATTATGCTCCCGCGAAGTTAGCGATCTCGGAAATACATATGCATCGGCAATTTCGCTGACTTTGAGCCCTATTTTTGGCCAATTCCATTCTTCTAGTCTACCAAATTCATAGCTATTTCTTCAGAACTCCATTTTTTTCTATCAACTGAGTACAAGAAACTGCCCATTTACTAATTTCAACTACCCAATAAAGTGGTCAAAAATTGGCAATTTGGCCAATTTCATGCAAATTAAAAAAGATGCCAATTTCAAAATAGTGTCCAGAATAAACAATGCAGACATTCCTGGCACTAAAATAACATACCCTCTGTTCATTAGTCACATCTCCAGGCAACCCTTATTTTACTTACTTTCTATTTTGATTTTTTAATCACACAAAAAATAGAAGATTTACTGTTATGCAGACTAATGCATTATTGTAAAAATGGTGTAAATAATATCAGTGCACTAGTGAAAAAATATTAGACTCCCCAATTGACATGTATTGGATGTGTGGTGTGATTTGGTTACTCTTGAACAATGGTAAAAATCGAACATTTCCGCTACTTTGAGCTCAATTTCAAAGTCGTTTTCATCGTGAAACTAATCAAAATTATCTCTATTTCTGTAATATGTTTTCCATTCTATCAAATGAGACCAAGAAAACGAGAATATAACCATAAATACTATACGAAAATACACCTCAAAGTCGGCGTATTAATCCAAAATCATGATCGGAGTTTTTCTTTTTCTCATTATGCACTACGTGCTGCAGGATTTTTTTTATACAGTGCACACTGACCACACAGACCCATTCTCTCACATGTGGGCCTACCAGCTTTCTCCTGCTTGATTTGAAGCCGCTAGAATTATTGAGTATACATGTACAGTGGACCCCCGCATAACGTTGGCATCGCATAGTGTTAAATCCGCATAGCGATACATTTTATCGCTAAAATTTTGCCTCGCATAGTGCTAAAAAATTCGCTCAACGCGATTCATCCAAGACACATCCATGCGGCCTGAGCCAGCCTCACTTGTTCTGCCAGTGGCATTAAACTAGTCATAAGTTGGCCTGTGATACTCCAATACTGAAACTATGTATAGTGCCAAAACAAAAGCATTCACATTGCTAAACTCACAAACTAGTATTTAGTCACTTAGCCATAATACCAACTTACCTCATAATTTTGTAATATTTCAAACTTAAGATTTAATTTAAGTCTGCCCGAAATGCCTAGCCATGCTAGGTGTTCTAGTGGTACACTCTGTAATTATTATTTTACTACATGTATACCACACAATAACCAAATTCTGTAAACTCAGCACTGTAATCCTTATAGAGAATAAACTTTGAATTTGAATTGTTTACAAGCCAGCCTCCGCGGCAACATTCGAGCATACAATCGGAACATTTTGTATTATTGCAGCCTTTTTATAGTGATTTCACCTGAAAAATAAGTGACCATGGGCCCCAAGAAAGCTTCTAGTGCCAACCCTACAGGAATAAGGGTGAGAATTACTATGGAGATGAAGAGAGAGATCATTGCTAAGTATGAAAGTGGAGTGCGTGTCTCCGAGCTGGCCAGGTTGTATAGTAAACCCCAATCAACCATCGCTTCTATTGTGTCCAAGAGAACGGCAATCAAGGAAGCTGTTCTTGCCAAAGGTTTAACTGTGCTTTTGAAACAGAGATCACAAGTGATAGAAGATGTTGAGAGACTGTTATTGGTGTGGATAAACGAAAAACAGATAGCAGGCGATAGCATCTCCCAAGCGATCATAAGTGAAAAGGCTAGGTGTCTGGGTGTCTTGTGCGGATTAATTTGATTTCCACTATTTCTTATGGAGAAAAATTAATTTGCTTAACGATAATCTCGCATAACATTGAGCTCTCAGGAACGGATTAATAGCGTTATGTGGGGGTCCACTGTATATACGTCCGAAACGCTGGCTTGCAAGACATATATATGACTGAAACAGTCAAAGGGTTAACTGTTAACATGTTTTAGTTCTACAAGTGTTTTATACACTTTTGTCTACTGGCTTTATAGAATGAACTTACAGCAATTCTTGCCAGAAAGACAGTCATATAATTCATGTTTTTTTTCCCCCATAACTTTGTTTTTTTTTTAAATATTGTCACACTGTGTGCCACTTTCCATTAACCTGCCATTTTACTATCTTGTAAGTATATCCCACACAATTTGTGTGCATGAAAATGCATGCATTTGTTGACTTAATATATCCATGCAAGGAGCAGCACTACAAATATTTTACCTGTGAGTGCAACATGCTGGTCAGGGTGTCAGCAGTCACTTGATTATAGTGAAAACAGAATGAATGGCAAAAAGGAATATAAAGTAACAACCAAGCACTCTAAAACCAAAATAAATAAGCAAAAATAAACAATAAGATGAAAAAATTCTTTATTAATATATTGGGAAGTTAGTATTCATGGAAGCAACATTTTTTTTGCTTAGAAAAAAAAAAAAAACACAAGTTTCATCTATTTAAAAAGTATCACAGATTCTTTGGAAATTTAAGAAATAATAATAATAAATAATAATAATAATCAATTACTGAAATACTTATACCAGTATGTATTGCATGTATTGTACCCAAAGCTTCATGCATTCAATAGCCTTTTCCCTTCAGTTACCACCTTTATATGTTCATGTAGCATCTCACTTTTCCCTACCCCCCTGGGAAGTTCCAGCTGTTCGGGTCTGTTCTTTCTCACTCCCTTGCTCGAAAGCTCAACTGTCTACGGTGGCTTCCCGCTCTCTTTTTCTTGATCACTTCCACTCCCATTCTCATGCCACCGCTGTGTACACAGATGGCTCTAAGTCTTCAGACGGTGTCGGATTCGCAGCAGTGTTTCCGGACAGCGTCGTGCGGGGGCATTTACTATCTTCGGCTAGCATTTTTACTGCTGAACTGTATGCCATTCTTGCAGCACTTATTCGTATCGCATCTATGCCCGTGTCATCATTTGTGGTTATCTCAGACTCCCTTAGTGCTCTACAGGCTATACGAAAATTTGATACATCTCACCCCCTAGTTCTCCGTATCCAACTTTGGCTACGCCGTATCTCTACGAAGCATAAAGATATTTTTTGTTGGGTCCCTGGTCATGTCGACGTACAGGGCAATGAACAGGCAGACACTGCTGCGCGGTCAGCAGTACATGACCTACCAATTTCCTATAGAGGTGTTCCATTTCTGGACTATTTTGCTGCAATAGCTACCCACCTTCACGCCCGTTGGCAACAACATTGGTCAACTCTGCTTGGTAACAAACTTCATTGTATTAAACCGAGCATAGGTTACTGGCCGTCTTCTCGTCATCAGTGCCGTGGTTGGGAGACCACTCTCTCCCGTCTTCGCATTGGCCACACTCGTCTTACTCACGGGTATCTCATGGAGAGGCACCATGTACCTCTGTGTGAGCAGTGTCAAGTTCCAGTATCGATTAGCCACATTCTGTTAGACTGCCCTCTCTATCAACGAGCACACAGAATTTACCTCCAATGCCGTCTTCATTCTACTACTCTCTCTTTACCTTCCCTTCTTGCTGATGGACCCTCCTTTAATCCTGACTCTCTCATTGACTTCTTGACAACGACTGATTTACTCACAAACTCTGATGATGATACCTTACGCACTCAACTCAGCCCTTTCTAGCTCAGTCACTTGCTGCCCTTTACCCATTCACCATCCACTGCTCTGCTCTTATCCATAACCTATTACTCATCCACCTCCCTTTTGCCACCTGATGCCCTCGCTTCCTTCCTGCCCTGCAGCGCTGTATAGCCCTTGTGGCTTAGCGCTTATTTTTGATTATAATAATAATCAATAGCCTTTTGCAAACATTCAATAATGTCAATATCTGAATATAAGTTCAGTGACCACCATGACTCTCAATGTCGTGAAAGTCCTTTGGAGTATTTTTTTGGACTTATTTGTGGCATTTATTTTTGTAGTCATACTTAAATGGTTTCATTCATGTTGCTCCAGTTTCTTTCCCTGTATCAATGCTTATTTATATTGAAAATATACACTACTGTATATCCAGGCCTTGTTTAACCTGTCCCTCTCTACTAATGTTAAGGTAATTATTGGTGTGAAAGACTCACCAAGGCTTTCACGTTGACTGTGGCCAAGGCAAGGCGGTCACCTTCAATTATGGAGCTGCTGATGTCTTGACCCAGGCCTCGGAGGTCAGTCATGCTCCGTGTCTGGTGTACACATACAGGGTTCCAATTAAGGTTAGTGGTTAGTAGTACTAATGTTTAAAATGCTCGCGATAAAACCTTATATATGTTAATGAAAATCTGTATTACAAAGTTTTGAGTTTCTGTTAATATAGTTACATTAACTTAAGAAAAAAGTAAGAGCTAGACTATAATGCAAATAACCAGAGTATAAATTGTACAGTATTTCTAGTGAGCAATAAAAGCTAACTTGGTACTATACTTAATAAAGGTTGGGGACAAATAAAACTTGATTTGGTAATAAATAAATTAAAACATTGTAAATATTCAAGGAGAACATGGAAGATCTCACTAGTCCCCTCTATGATCTTCAACAATTTAATCAGAGGTAATATCCTTCATGTATATCGCATATTGTGCATTATATTCAGAACTTTCCGACTTATCTGACAAAGATCATATTGTCAAACTAACTGAACTATGAATGAAAATATTTTATTATGGTCAATAATACTAAGTGGATTTAGACTTATCTATGTTAGGCAGCATTAAACTATATACCTGTGATATATAACTGTATAAAGTATACTCTTAAAAAAACTTGGAAAGGTGAGATTAGGTGGCAAAGTCAATTCTGACAAATTTAAAACATGGCATAGATTTTTAAAAATCTATCAACAGATTAAAAATAAAATCTAACAAAATTTGCTGTTTTTGGCCAGTGTTTTAAAACAGAGCAAATTACAAGTTTTGTTAGTATACAGTATTAAAAAAAATACAAATGTGAAAAAACATGCTAAGCCATGCAAAACAATGTATAAATCTATTTGATATTTACTATCAAGAGGCACCGCTTTCCATGAATAAAACATCTGTTGCCCAGAGGTACCAATTTCCGTGAATATAAACATCTATTACCTAGAGGCACAACTTTCCATATACAATACATATATAAGCAACTAGGAAGGCATGACTGCTATTGAAAATACACACTCACCAGTATATACAGTATAATAAATATCAACTGTCATATCACCCACACTTTCCTCATCACCAAAAGACAATAATCTGAAACTAACAACCCAAAGAATGATGCCTCAAAATTCTGTGAACCCCTGAAATAAAGATTAAACCTTTTACCTAAATTTTATTAAATCAACGAATATTTCTACTCCAACTTGTGTCCTGTAACATTATGTTAGAAACACTACCAAGATTCAAGCAATACAAAAATGCAGCCTAGTTACTGTATTATGAAGAAAAACTTACACACTGAACAGTTTCTTGTTTGGACGGCTGAAGTGAGGCAAGTGCAGTGCATCATAAGTGTGAAAATAAGAGTACACAAGTGAGATATTAATACACATCACAGAAAAACAAATAAATATGAAACTTACAAGCTGTTTTTCTATTCTTCTGAGTTCAAAACCTGGCAATCTACCATTTATTTTCCAAAAACTTCTGGAAATGCATTTTACAAATAGCAGATCTAATGTATCACTGCACAACCTAGTGTAGGTAAATTTGTGAATAAAACCCATCTGATATTGATTGTCAAACATTATATAAGAGCTGTATCTTTTTCACTACCTACATTCTCTCAGATCAGAGTGGTTAATTCAAGCAGGATACAGGAACTCTTGCCTTCACATTTCTTGCCTGTATCTGGCTCATGAAAGATAATACAGTATTACAATACTTTCACTGAAGCCATATATATAATGTGCGTAAGTTTGTGCAATAATTATTTCATAACTTATTTTAGTTCATTGGGAATGAGCTGTAGCTTTTGGATTTTCAACTGACAGTGATTCCACCTACCAATACTGTTTGGACTCCTTTATGGAGTCTGCTCATACTCTAGGTGTAATATGTACAACAAAAATTAATTACGTAAAATTAAGTAGTTTTCATGTACAGTGGACTCCCGCATAACGATCACCTCCGAATGCGACCAATTATGTAAGTGTATTTATGTAATTGCGTTTGTACGTGTATGTTTGGGGGTCTGAAATGGACTAATCTACTTCACAATATTCCTTATGGGAACAAATTCGGTCAGTACTGGCACCTGAACATACTTCTGGAGTGAAAAAATATCGTTAACTGGGGGTCCACTGTATTATATCATAAAATATCTTATAATTACATACTGAACTTTATAAGGTATGGAATAACTAATATTAATAATATGCATCCTCAACCTGAAGATGATTTTTTTAATTCAATGGCTGTCTCCTGCCAAGGCAGGATGACCCAAAGAATAAAACACATTGACCAACATTCACTCTATAACTTTCCAGAAGTGTAGTGACATCACAATCAGATTACCCTCCGACTGCAGCATCCCCAGCCCTGTATCAGAGCACCTGGTACTGCCCTTCCCACCTCCAGGACTCAAAGATATGTATGCATATTATGAATTTAATTTTTTTTTTTTTTTAACAAACCAACCATCTCCCACAAAGGCAAAGCAACCCGAAAAAGAAGAAACGCCTTCACCATCACTCACCCTATCACTGTCTTGCCAGAGGCATGCCAATACTACGGTTCAGATGCCCCTCCAAACTGCAAATATCCCCACCCCTCCTCTTATATAATAAATTTTTATTTTCTCAACAAATCATTTACAATGTAGTGAAAAGTCACTGATGCAGTACTCACCAGTTGTCTGATAGAGACCCCAGTGTCTGGTGGTGTTCTGGTTGGTGTCTGGCTACGCAGGAGACCGTCCTCCACTGACCTACAGTATTCCTCACGCTGTAAACAATTTATTTAATGTCTTTGGACTAAGGTTTCCAAGTCAATGTAGACATATATAAAAATTCAGTATGGAACACTTTCATAATCTTTCTATCCAATTTATTTTTTGTCAGTACTACAACTTTTATTATAAATGGCAATACAATACAGATAAAGGTGCCATCCTGCATATGACTTATAAATGTAATTGGAGTCAATTTGTATGTTTCATTCCATGAGTATCATAAAGATATCTTCCGACTCACAATTTGTGCACCCACAACTTGCACACAGTCACCATCCACAAGAACTTTTTTCTTCCCCAAAAACAGAAGACAACACTCAACAGCTAACATTATCCCATATTGCTTCAATCTTTCAACCCTGGTAACCCCTAACCTTTTTATTTTTACACCAGCAGTACATGCTATTCCCATAAACCACGGTGGTGTTATCTACCACTTAAAGAAAAATGAAAGTCACAATACCATGAATGGAACAATTCACAAATAATACACACAGCCTTTAGGAGAAACTTCAGACAATATTTCATCTCATCCTGGATCAATATAACGTCACAACAGTTGTAAATTGATAAAGGTCCAGAACGGATCAAAATGCCACTTCCAGAGTCTCAGCCAAAATGTTACTGGTGACATTTTGGTCAAGACTATAGAGCTGAGGATTTGTCAAAGCTAAGGACTGACCACCTAAAACCTGCTAAAAGGCTGACAGACTGATCACGATGTCTTTACATCTCCACTGCTTCTGCTGTCTACAATATTCATCACCTCTGTATTCAACCACTGTATTCAACTACTGTACAGGTGTCTTACTCTTCTACTCGTTGGTAATGCTTGTATACCACTATTATAGCGATACTCATCACCTGGTGAACAGATGAACACTGGAGTATAGGTATGAGCTAAACCTAACATTTTCAACTTTTACAACTGGTGAACAGATGAATACTGCAGCACAGACATATGAACTGAACTCACCAACCACTAACAGCAGAAATGCTGGAATAAAAACCATTCCAAAATACCTAATAATCACTTAATTATTCACTGAATACTAACCAGCTGTTGTAGAGAGATGTTTAGTTCCTCCTTTGGTGAAGGGCTGCCACCAGCTGGAGTACAGCTGCTGCTGCTGCTGCACCGGCTGCCCGCACCACTGTTCGTCGCCGTCCCCTCATAAACTGACTTCTGTTTTGATTATTACAATACCATTATACGCTTATTGTTCTTCATTGTTTTGAGCTAATTTAAAACACTCCATAAACAACAGATTAAAAACACAAACAAAATTTAAAAGCATGCATATCAAATTAGTGATGCTGGTTTTGTAAGAAAAAATTAAAAAATGTGTACACGCTAACATACCCAGAGACAACTCCAATGATTGCCACAACCAATCATCAGGTAGGTTACCATGTATTTATAGTACACACAAACACACACAGTCAACAAAAAAATCACAACATACATTTCACCCACTATGGATATGCAACCATAATATAGTATTTACATCTTAAGTAACACACAGTCGAGAGAACAAGCCCAACAAGATGAAATTAAATGAATTCCAAATTAATATTTTAAATGAATTGTGAAAAAAAATGAAGATGTGAACTGCAAATGCCTTTATTGAAAGAGGCTAAAAATCCACCAAAATGTATACTTAGAAGAGGAACCTTATGACAAGAGAGAGAGAGACATGCTTGACAGTAGAGAACAGAGCAAGACGTCTCATCTCTGCCTGGACCCATCCTGGATAGATCTGTCATTTCAGCAGAGCCTTCAACATAGGAGGGATGTGGGTGGCCTTACTGTTATGTACAAGGCCAATATTGTCAAAGTACCACACTTGGATCCACTTCGAGGACAGCGTGAAACAAGCTTTTATGCCACAAGACGGGCAGAAAGCAGCAACTTCACTCTGGCTGTACCCTTCTCCAGAACATCACTCCATCTGATATCATACATACCCAGGATGACTCGAGTATGGAACACATTCGTAACAGCATAATGAATGTCAACGAGATAAAGTCAGTTGATCAATGAAAAATGGTGGACCAAGATGCCTTCAACTTCATCTGTATCCCTACTTGTATGTTAATAACAATAAAAATGCTTTCAAAGAGCTGATGTAGGTAACAGCTCTTAGCTTGCCAATAAAGTTAGGAATCCTTTACCTGTAATGCTTGTCAATAAAGCTAGGGATCCTTAAAAACCTTGTCAAACCCTGTGTAAAGAAAGAAAGAAAAGAAAGAGAGACGAGAGAGACACAGAGGAGAGACAGAGAAGAGAGACATGAGAGAGAGAGACAGAGATGAGAGAAGAGACAGAAGAGACAGGACGAGAGTACAGAGAGAGAGAACGAGAGAGAGAGACCAGAGAGAGAGGAACAGATGAGAGAGAGAGAACAGAGAGAGAGAGACAAGAGAGAGAGAGACGAAGAGAGACGGACAGAGACGGACAGAGACGGACAGAGACGGACAGAGCGGAGAGAGAGACAGATAGAGAGTCAGAGAGGAGAGAGAACAGATGAGACAGAGCAAGAGACAGAGAGAGAGACAGAAGAGTGAAGAAGAGGACAGAGAGACAGAGAGAAGAGAAAGAGAGACAAGAGAGAGACAGAGAGAGACAGAGAGAGACAGAGAGAGACAGAGAGAGACAGAGAGAGACAGAGACAGAGAAAAAAAAGGCAGTAGTAAGAACTCTTTTGAGAGGAGGCACAGTGTCAGCAATGTGTGCCTCCATCATCCAAAATTTTGAAAATATTTACAATAAACTATGGTAATTAAAGATGGGACACAATAGGCATGGCTCCACTAACTACAAACACATAGTGCAGGCAACAAGTGGAATGTACTAGTGGAGGTGGATGTGATGCAGGAAGTCTGACTACAACTCTGGCTGTGGTAGTATAATTCTCAAAAACAGGTCACAGGTATGTGAATGATAAACACCAACATTAGCCACAGGAATAGTAGAAAGTATTTCTTCAGTGTAAGACTGGTGAACAAGTGGACCAAGCCAGGTGAAGTGAACAAGGATCCAAAAACAGATATGAGAACCCATCAGGTTAGGAACCAAGTGAATGAATCAGCCAAAGGTTAAAATATAGAACAGAAGCTGGAACTCAACAGCTCAACAAATACAAATAGAGGACTGCCACTAGATTCATATCAGAATTGCAAAGAATGAACTACAAGGAATGACTAACATAGCTGAACCTTGTGTTCAGCTATGTTAGTTAGAGGGAAGATATGATCACAGTATACAAAGGAACACAGGAGATGCTGACAGGGTATACAAAGAACACAACTAGCAGGTATTGAGGAAAGCTGAACACTCATATTAGCTATAGGAACATTATCAGAAAACAAGTGTCAAGACGATGAAAAATTAGAATTGAATATAAATATAAAACCTGTGGAAGCAAACTCCATACACAGAACAAAAAAAAAAGAAGGTAAAACAGAACACATGGAACTAAGAACAAATAATGCTAGTTTACTGAAAACTTAGGAGGCAGGGCCAGGAGATGGAACTCAACCCCTGAAAGGACAGTATGCATAAAATTAAAGTTGGCCTTCAGAAGGTCAGTCTCCTTCAAGGTTAATATGATAGAACTACAGTAATTCATGCAGTCCATCAAAACCTATGAGGTTGACCTAAGAGCTAGAGCTCACCTCCTGCAAATCACATAGGTAATTAAATGCTTATATAGTACAACTTTGACATTCATGACAAAAACATGACATGACTAAAATATACTATGATAATCATGACAATAACATAACTAAACTATTAAAGTAGAGTATCTTATGGATGGTCGTGCAGATTAACCCCACTACTCACGGATCCTTCATGTCTTCCTAGCCACACCAAAGCAGCCATGCACCCTAATCAAAATATTAATATAAGTAGTCAAAACAATTTTATTTCACATAAAATATTCAGACATGAATTTTGTACAAGTGTATCTCACTTTTGTAATGAAATGTAAACAATTCAGACAATGCCAGTTGGCATTGAGGTATTTTGTTCAATAAAGGAATACCTAAGTAACACAATCCCCCCTTGATGTTTTGTTTATCCTACAATGATGTCTGTCATTTTGCCTTGTTGCTCTCTCTCATCCCCACAAACATTACTACAGAACTGGGATTTTACAATGTCTCGATGTTACTGCCGTAATGACAGCTCCTTTAATGAATGTCCTGAACTGTACACAAGTGTCTTTTTCCACAGCTCCTAACCCATCATGAACTTAAGTAAAAAAAAAATACAGTACAGTAATTGGATATGCTTGGCTTGTAAGGACAAGCCACCTTAGTAGAGAAACATTATGGTGTTGATGAATCCACAGTATAATGAATTAACAAATGTAAGAGACGACCTGAAACTACGTTAGGCATGTTCTATGGTGGTAGCAATTATTTATGACACTTTATCAGCAAATCATCAAAAGTAAATAATATATAAACTATTGTAGACATCAGTTTCAACATTTACCCTTGTAAAATATGGTGGACACTTGTGTATTTCAATACTCGGTACTCATGATCCCAAAAAGACCATACAAAGCCTTGTGAATATTGGAATTCTACTATATTTATACACAACACATACACACACACGGTACTCAAACACTAACATACACAATTTAACCAATCCACAAAAACTTTTTAAAATGCTAGAAACAAACCATGTAGTATATTAAAACTACAAAAATAAAAGTTTTAAATTATGTGTACTCATTATGCTCTTTTTATCAGTCATATTTGGAAGAAGTATTTACAAATAAATGCTGGTCTCTTAATAATATGATGGGAATAGAGAAAACAGTAGGTAATAACAATTACTTGACAGTAAAAAGCATAATAAAACAGCACATCAATTCAAATCCTAATTATATTATTTAAATTTTAGCAACACACAATTCACAGACCTTTCAATATTATAGTAACAGAAAAATAAAAATGTAATGTGAAAAATCAGGGCAGAAACACAATGTACTACAGAGAACTAATGTTAAACTTTTCCACTATATTTGGCCAATCACTATTTTAAACTGTTAATAGGACTCATTTAAAAGACTTGACTAGTGAAAAAATTGGCAAAAAAAAAAAAAAACCAAAGGCTGGCTGGTGCTAGTCTGAAGCTAAGTTGTTTATCATTAGCTTCCTGTCTCATGATAAAGCTTCATGATAAAGCTAAGGTGTGGTTAAAAACAAATGTTTGTGCATTAATGAACAATAAACAACCCACCCTCTTTTCCACCAGTTGCGATACGACCTCATCTGCGGAAACGAATAATTTAACACTACTTACTTTCAAATCTAAAACTTTTCATCTTAATCCAAAAGTCGTTGGTTGCATAACCAATTACAAAAACACTTAACTACACCAATAATGTACATCTGCGATATTTCATATTCTCCGCGACTTCAAAATTCCCAAGGCCTCCAGGAAAGTAACCCCTGCAAATTCCAGGGCTTAAGTGTAGAGAAACATTCATGTCAACATTCCTAAACTATACCATTTTATTCATTCTCTATATAAATATAATTACTCAGTAAAAAAGCAATGAGTAATGAATTAATCACTAAAAGGTCATCAGTTGAAGTACTATATCCTACTTCTCCCAACATAATATAAAAGTGAGAACAAGTTTATGAAGGTTATAAAAAAAAAAAAAAATCAGACAGTTCATTAGGAGAGAAAGTGCTGTGTAAATGGAAGGTTGCTAATGAGGATATTAAATGTACTAAGTGTTAATTCATTTTGACCCCCTATTACAATGACTACCAAAATATATAACTTACATTGCTATGAAAAAAATATAGTATATTATATAATCATGGGTGGTATATAGAGGCATCTTTGGAAGGAATGTACCAAAGTCTAGTGGTACCAACACTTTCATATGGATGTGAGGCATGGGTTTTGAACACAGCAGTAAGGAGGAAGCTAGGAGCAGCAGAGTTGTCTTGTCTGAGAGTAATGTATGGTGTGAATATCATGCAGAGAATCTTAGGTGTAGAAACTGAACGGTGATAGGGGAAATCCAAGGAGTGATTGAAAGAGGGAGTAAAGGAGATTTTGAGTTTTAGGGGCTTGAGCACCCAGCAGACTTTTATGAGCTTGTTAGATAGTAGTGAATGGAAACAAGTGGTTGTTTAATGAACTTGCTATTAGAGTGCGCACAAGGTAACTTTCACGAAGGGATTCAGGGAGAATGGATAGCCGGACTTGAATCCTGGAGATGGGACTTGCAGTGCCTGCACTCTGAAGAAAGGGTGGGGATGTTGCTGTTGATGGGGGGGATGGGGGGTAAAGTACTGTGATGTCAAGACACTTCTGGAAAGGAAGATACCGAGTGAAGTATGGCGAATATGTTTCTTTCTTTGGATCATCCTCCCTTGGAGAGAAGGCCATTGAGGTAAAAAAGAAAATATTCATGGGGTTGCACTAAGCCTGTAGAAGTCATACAGTGCCTGTGGAATGAAAGGTAATCAAGTCTGATCAAAGAAATAGTAGTAACTCAAATTCTTTGGGTCACAATCCTATCATTAGCATCACACTCCCTCCCATCACTGCAGAGCATTAAGGGAAAAAGTTACCAAAAATTGCCTAAAGAAAGGACAAAACCCAACTTTGTATAGGAAACTACACCTGAAAAATGTAAGTACAGTATTTTCCAAATATCTACACAAGTTACATGCTTCTCCAACATTACACCATGCTGTAGGAACACATGGCTTATGTACCTAAAATTTAACAATTTCACTTTAGTCCTGCTCTCGAGATTTTTTTAAAAATCTTTAATTTCAGCAGTTCATAAATCTGTTTCCAAAGTGTTATACACACATTTAGAGAGTACATTTTAAATTTCAAATTTATATTTGGAAATTTTCACAATTATAATGTTACCCTTTACACTGTTGCTTTTCATTAATTATCAGTATTATCATAGTCATGGGGCATTTCTTTAGTATACTATGTAGTCCCTTATTTGTATTGCCAAATCTTCTCTTTCTCATTTATTGTTAAATGGTAAATTTTACATGCATTTATAAGTCAAAATTTTTCATCTTCGTTCTAAATTTATACCACAAGAATTTCAACATTACTTATGTTTTGGATTTTAATTTCTGTGGTTTGTAGTGTTTCTTATACTAATATTCCAAGCTGCCTCCTTTCCTACTCTTCTTTACATTAAGTAGTTAACCTTAAATGCTACCTTATTTAGAATGTTTTTTTCTAGTTTGATTTCAGCTAGATTCTCCAGGTCAGTATTTTTTTTTCCTTAAACTCATTTTTTGAGATTACTATACTCCATCTATATTTGCACATAAAATCTTTGTGTATTTATCTCTGTTTTCCTGTTTTCTTTTGATTTGGTTCCTACCTATCTTCCATTTACTGCCCTAATACACGAGTTGGACTGTGCTACTCTGCAAAAAGAAGTGAACTTCCTCATTTTTAATTATTTAGCCTTTTACCAGTTCCTATATTATCTCTGATTTTTATTCTTTCCTCCTTTGACAGGTCTTGTCTAACTGTTATGTTCTTGTAGACTTCCTGTGGGTTTTATAGCACAATCTCACAATACTGTCACACTGTAGCTAGAAGAGTTGAAAACAAGTTTCACTGATCTATAGTTTTGACCTGGAGAGAGTTCTGGGGGTCAACGCCCCTGCGGCCCGGTCTGTGACCAGGCCTCATGGTGGATCAGCGCCTGATCAACAGGCTGTTACTGCTGGCTGCACGCAATCCAACGTACGAGCCTCAGCCTGGCTGGTCAGGTACCAACTTTAGGTGCTTGTCCAGTGCCTGTTTGAAGGCAGCCAGGGGTCTATTGGTAATCCCCCTTATGTATGCTGGGAGGCAGTTGAACAGTCTCGGGCCCCTGACACTTATGTAGGTTGTCAGGACATTAAAATCTGTGACTAGTGAAGACTCACTAGCCACTCATCTGAAGCTGATTTCTTAATTTCTTGCTACAATAAACTGAAATTTAGAATAGGCAGCTACACCTAATGCAATATAAATTGGAAAAAAAAAATTGTTAGGAAATTGGTTTATACAATACTATATAGGTACTGAAAAATGTTCTCTCAATTGCTGCTAATGACTGCAATCCATAAAAAATTGAGTGTGAAAAATAATTGGTCTACACATGAAAAACAATACATTTCACTGCAGCAGATCTGTGCAGATGTATTGTCATAATTCTGTTAGCTATCACAAATGTTGGGGAATGTATGTGTTCCAGTTTTTAATATACAGGATATTCTTAAATTTAATAAATTGGCTAAGAAACTTTGTTCATCACAAAAATCATTCACCTACCAGTACTGTCAATATTTATCCAACAGCTAGTGCTAACTTGAGATGTTTCCTTTAGAATTAATATGTAGCAAGAAAAATATATTTCTTATTCACAAATAAACAGTACTGTATTGAACTTCAATAAGATTACAGAAGGGAGAGATCTGTGATGGTGTCTGTCACTGTCAGGTTTCTAACTTATAGCTAGGGTAATTGTGATGGCACGAGACAATGAGTGGATGGTAGCCAGTGTACATGATAACACAGTTATCATTGAGTGGGAAGCCCTTTATCCATACAGTATCTTATCTAGCACGTGGCACAATAAAATGGATCAAATAGGACACAATGTACTGTAATCATCACAAGATTCCATGAAATTTACATTGTGTTCACTGGCTAAAAGCATGGCACTATGGGTAATGCATATGTTACTTTGTCAGTCAAGTTAAGCACTACTGCATCTGGACAGCAACTGGATGGGTGACAGTACGAACACAGCTTAGGTCCTGTCGTATATAACACAGTCAAGTACATGTTTCTCCTCACAACATGGTTTACCTATACTTATCCTCTCCTTCAAAAGGTACTATTTGATGCTAGTGCAGGGCTCTTGATCCGAGGATCAAACCTGACTACCTTCCATCCCCCAGGTGCTATACTCACCCTTACAGGTTTAGTGCCCCCTGTGAATATAATTTGCTGTGCTTATCCTTAGTCTGACTCAAAAGACCATTTGCAAAGAAAACTTTTCTTAAATGAGGATAATTGTACCAGAAATCTACTTGTGAAAATAAATATTAATATTGTTATTGACAGAAGAGTCTGTCTAATCACAATGATAATGTTAAGAAAGAAAAAGAGTTATAATATATTCTGAATTATTATTATTCCTTGTAATACTGGGTTATGATTCATTTTTATTTTACCATGAATAAATATGATACCAGATGTACTTGCAGCTTTTATCATCCCTTTTTTGTTACACATTACTTTTTTAGCATTTATCTATTTAATAGCTTGATCAAACAAGCCTGCCAGGTGTGGTGCACATGTTGGACTGTGTGCAACCAACAGCCTGGTTAATCAGGTCATCCACAGAAGACTTAGTCTGGAACTGGACAGCAAAGGTCTTGACCCTAAAATACACTCCAAGTAACCAAATGCTGGATAATCAATGATTCTGCTGTATTTTTCAACTTGCCATTTTGAATGGAATGCACAGTTGTGTATGTGGCACTTCAGATGATCAGAGGAGTGTCAGAGTGTGCCAGTATTAGTACTGCAATACATTACTTGCTTTGTAGTTATATTCACTTAAATTCTAGACTTCAATACTATTCATTTTGGAGCCAAGAATTATGAGTTTGGTGAATATTTTTTGTGCAGTTCTTATGCCTCACTATTTCCAAGAACTTCCACTACCCTGGAGATAAGCCATGCTCACCCAGGAAGAACCTTTACTTTTCATATACCTTTAATGTGTTTGAAAAGTTTTTCAACTACCGGAAACCAACCCTGACTGGGCCACGCTTGTCTGCTGATCAATCATGCTGTTGCTGCTGGTGGCCAGCTGGCCCACATATCCATCACAGTTGGCTAATCTTGGCAGAGATGAGCCATGCTCTTATAACACCAGTTGATATCACTGTCATTTAGCGTGACAGCTGGATTTACAATGGTGTCTCATCTTATGGGCTAAGTCTTTACATTTATCTGAATACAGTATTTAGTGTCAGTGGTGATCCTTTCCCCTCCCATCACATAACTCAAAGCGTAGCAATGGGCACAAGCCATTAATGGAAACAATAGCCTCTACCCCAATCTAGTGTCTCCATGGGTGTCTGAGGCTGACCTATACTGTATACTTTTTCTTCTAAATAATTTTCAAATGATTTCAAGATTAAATATGTTTCAATACCAATCAGTGCACAATTGTAAGAGTTAACATCATTCCTACAAACATAAAAGTTTTGTCAAAAATGCTGAGAATTTACTGGATTAAATTTGCTGCTGTGAATGTTGAGTAAACTAGAAGTAATTTATTAATGATGATAGCTGATTATGAATGATGGGGAAAATGTTAATTAAAATATCAGTATGATTGTAATCCTAGGGGTTACTTACCAGCGATCGCAACGAGATTGGTGCAATATCATCAGGACGACTGGAAGGTGTTGTAGTTTGAGGATGTGGTGAAGAATATGTGTCAACCTGTAATGCATCACATCTATGATAACAGTTTTGCGAATATTTTAAATTACATTAAATTTGAATAAATTTAAAACATGATTTTCGGAATTAGGTCCATGGATCTATTAACCCTTAAACTGTCCAAACGTAGATCTACGTTTTTTCAACATTTCAAAGTATGTAAAAAAAGTAGAAATTTTTTTTTTTTACATTTGAAAAAGTAAAAAAAAACTTTGATCTATTTTTTTTTTTGTATATTTGAAAATATATAAAAAATATGTAGATCTACTTTTGGAGCACTATGCATGTGAACGTAGATCTGCTTGGACAGTTTAAGGGTTAAGTACGATTAGTACAATAAGTACGATTAAGTCCTATTGACCTAATAAGTACAATAATAAAAAATCCCTTTATTTCAAGGACTATAAATCTGTTACTTGTGGTAAGGATTTGGTGACAACACCAAACGATGCTTCAGGATAACCCTTTGTATCCTGTGCTGAAAATTTGTTTAGTCAAATATTTTGTCTACTGTATTTGAGTTTATATTAATTTATAATCATTCTGTCTGAAATGCTATTCCATTGAATTCAGTTGTGCATGTGCATGCACAGACTCACACGCACACGCGAGCACACACACACACAGCAGGGTTCCACAGGGGCCAGTCCAAGGACCTGTGCTGTTTTTGGTACATGTAAATGACATAACGGAAGGGACAAACTCAAAGTGTCCTTCTTTGCAGATGATGTGAAGTTAATGAGGAGAATTAAATCAGTTGAGGATCAAGCAGGACTATGAAGAGTCCTGGACGAACTACAAGCCTGGTCCAGCAACTGGTCACTTGAATTTAACCCCGCCAGATGCAAAATCATGAAGATCATGGAAGGGCAAAGAAGACCATGGACAGAATATAGTTTAGGTGAACAAAAACTGCAAACCTCATTCAAGGAAAAAGATCTTGGGGTGAGTATAATACCGAGCACATCTCCTGAGGCACACATCAATCGGATAACTGCTGCAGTATACGGGCGTCTGGCAAACCTAAGACTAGCGTTCCGATACCTCAGTAAAGAATTGTTCAAGACTCTGTACACCATATATATCAGGCCCATATTGGAGTATGCAGCACCAGTTTAAAATCCACACCTGGTCAAGCATGTCAAGAAATTAAAGAAAGTGCAAAGATTTGCAATGAAACTAGTCCCAAAGCTAAGGGGATTGTCCTACAAAGAAAGGTTAAGGGAAATCGGCCTGATGACACTGGAGGACAGGAGGGTCAGGGGAGACATGATAATGACATAAAATACTGTGAGGAATTGACAAGGTGGACAAAGAACAGGATGGTCTAGAGATGGGACACAGAAACAAGGGGTCACAATTGGAAGCTGAAGGCTCCTACGAGCCAAAGAGACATTAGAAGTATTTCTTCAGTCATAGATTTGTCAGGAAGTGGAAAAGCCTAGAAAGCAATGTAGTGGAGGCAGGAACCATACATAGTTTTTAAGACAAGGTTTGATAAAGCTCATGGAGCAGGGAGAGAGAGGACCCAGTAGCAATCAGTGAAGAGGCAGGGCCAGGAGCTATGACTTGACCCTGCAACAACAAACAAGTGAGCACAAATAGGTGAGTACACACACACACACATACAGACATATGCATGTATGCACACACATACGTCCACTTACGCACGCACACAAAAAATATTAATTTTTAAAGCTAGACGTCATAAGAGTGAAACTTGAAGGGTATACTAAAGACAAGAAGCAACCAGCAACAAGTGTTAAATGATTTATCTGAGTATAACATAAGGGTCACATCGATTTAACTCAATAACTAAAATAATTATCACAAGAAAACATTATGCATGAATTTTTCTAAATGCAAATAAACTGTATAAAAGGTTTTAAAAGTTTACATGAAAGTTTATTTACTGATTCTGATACAATATTATAGAGATAATATAATAATGTTGGTGTTAGAAAGCCAGTAATGAGTATATTAGAGATCTTCAGCAAACTTAGCCTGACTAGACACAGGGTATATACACAGAGGTATATTTCTCTCAGTGTATATGTATAATGAGATTTTACTTTTATGCCTATTTTAGGGATTAAAATATTCTTGTCTGGTGGTGAACAGGTTACGCTGCAACCTTAAATGACCCTCATGCAGGCGATAGGCTTTAAACCCTATTAATCAATCAGCCTGCTAGAATGATTTAGAACTTACCAGACTACTGATATTAACACTTGAGTTGAGGTCAGCCTTGATGTCTGGTTTTGTGTTGCTCTTATAAGTGTTCGTTGAGTGAAGACCCTTCTCTTGTGCAGCACTCAAGTATGACACTCTCTGAGGGTAACATTAACATTACTTTCCAGTCATCTACGTAAGCTTTTCCATAAAAAAAAAAGTCATAATATTTTCTAAATACAACTAAGGATGGATAAGATCAAATAAAATTGAAAGACAAGCTGTAAAATAAAATTATATGAATTGCAATAAGAATAAATAGCAAGACTGAAGAAAGAACACAAAATAATAAAAACAAAAAGTATGTGATGTATGTGAAGAAGTAAAGAAAGGTTTGCCGACAACTTGAGGGTCGAGATGTTTGTAAGCCCCCCCCCCTTCTACACACATACACACACACAAAACCAGCTTAGAAGTAAGGCCACAAGCTGTGAATCGACCCCTACAACCACAAGTAGGCGAGTACACTCATACGCATGCATGCTCACACACTGGGGAGAGAGGACCTAGTAGCGGTCGGTGAAGAGGCGGGGCCAGGAGCTGAGTCTCGACCCCTGCAACCACAATTAGGCGAGTACAATTAGGCGAGTACTAGAGGTTCATGAGTGACATCTAGTGAATCTGTGGAAAGAATGAGAGACTGTCTCAAAGACTCCACTGTGATTCTTTCATTCACTGAAGGAGCCAGATAGTGGCATGCTCTTTCAGTCTCCCCCCCTCAAGGAAGGTTCCTTGAAGTTGGTGAGGGGCTCTTGATTTAGGGAATTGGATCTGTTCTCCATTTCCCCGAATTAAGCCTGAATGCCTTCCACATCCCCCCCCCCCCAGGCGCTGTATAATCCTCTGGGTTTAGCGCTTCCCCTCGATTAATAATAATAATCTTTCAGTCTCCCTAAGTAAGTTTATTTAGGTACAAGTACAGCTGTCATACATAGTAACATATGTACATTACCTAGGATAACCAAAAAAGTCAAAGTTATTTATTTCTATTGGAGTCCTAACCAGACCAACTTTTCCTAAGACCACAAAAATTCCCTGTGGAGTAATTAGGAATAGCCTGCTGGGTATCCCTAATTACTCCACAGACACTCTCCCACTAAATTATTATTTGGACTTAACCATGATGCATAAATTATTGCTGAACACTAGTGCATATATGAGAGTGTATTGGCAGACCAACCCAGACTATGATCTTACCTGCCATAGATCAGAGAGAATAAGTTATGAGAAGATTCCCAATATCATAGTCATCCTACCCACCAGGAAGCCAGCCTCAGCTATGAGACTCGGCGAGAGAAAAAAAAAAAAAGTCAAGGAATCCAGTCTACCCTGGGAACATGGTAAGTAGATGATGAGGGGTAAGAAATGAATTGAAGTATCTTCTGTGTGTGTGTGTGTGTGTGTGTGTGTGTGTGTGTGTGTGTGTGTGTGTGTGTGTGTGTGTGTACTCACCTAATTGTGGTTGCAGGGGTCGAGACTCAGTTCCTGGCCCTGCCTCTTCACTAAAGTGCTACTAGTCTCTGTCTCTCTCTCACACTCTCTCCACACACTCTCACACACTCTCACACACTCTCTCACACACTCTCACACACTCTCACACACTCTCACACACACACACACTCTCCACACACCCCACACACACACACACCACCACACTCACAACCACCCCACACACAAAACTCCCTCACACACACCCCTCTCACACACACTCTCTCACACACACTCCCCTCACCACACTCTCTCACAACAACTCACTCTCACAACCACAACTCTCACACACACACTCTCACACACCTCCCACACACTCTCTACCTCGTACGCTTCCCCCACACTCAATACACACTTTCACACACAAGTCACACTTATTTAACACACAGCAGCACTCACACAACACTTCACATACCACGTACCAAAAATCAAATCTAATTACACGGGTCTCACACAACTTTCTCTCAACACCACAAACAATTCCTGTGACAGAACTCGCTAACACACTGGTTCACCAACTCTCTCCACAACACTCTCTCACTACATTCTCTCACAACATACTCATTCATCACACATCATACATGAGACTCGTTCCCACTGCACTCCACCCATCTCTGACACTCACTGCCTAGACAGAGAAATCTCTACACACACTTCTCAACACATCTGTCACACACCCTCCACGACCACACTCTCTAGACACTCTCTCAAACATCACTCAAAAACACACTCTCTACACCCTGGACATGCACAGTAGATGAAGTAAGAAATGAATTGCAAGACGTGTTTGACATCGTCTCAGTCTGTTTGTGTCTGTTGTCTCAGTGTGTTCTCAGTCTTCACAGTGTGCTACACACCCTCAACACTCGGCTTCACGAGTCACACTCTCACTCAGCCTCCACTTACACTGATGCTACAGCACACCTCCACACACTCTCTCACTCACACTCTATCCTCTCCACTACTCTCTCACTCAACTCTCTCTCTCATCACTCTCTCCTCTCATCTTTCTCACTCATCTCTACTCTCTCTCTTTTCTCACACATCTCTCTCACACTATCTCTCTCACACACTTCTCCTCTCATCACTCTCTCACACACTTCTACACACACTCTCTCACACATCTATCTACACACACTCTCTATCCATCACTCTCATCTACTCATCTCTCAACTATCTCATCAACCACTCTCTCTCATACACTCTCTTCTCTCTCCATGATCTTTATCATATCTCATCTTAAAGCTATGTATGATTCCTGCCTCCACTACCTCACTTGCTAGGCTATTCCACTTCCTGACTACTCAATGACTGAAGAAATACTTCCTAACATCCCTTTAACTCGTCTGGGTCTTCAATTTCCAACTGTGATCCCTTGTTTATGTGTCCTCTCTCTGGAACATCCTGTCTCTGTCCACCTTGTCTATTCCACACAGTATTTTATATGTCGTTATCATATCTCCCCAACCCTCCTGTTTTCCAGTGTCATCAGGCCGATTTCCCTTAACCTTTCTTCATAGGACATTCCCATTAGCTCTGGAACTAACCTTGTTGCAAACCTTTGCACTTTCTCTAATTTCTTGACGTGCTTGATCAAGTGTGGGTTCCAAACAGGTACTGCATACTCCAGTATGGGCCTGACGTACACAGTGTACAGTGTCTTCAACGATTTCTTACTAAGGTATCGGAACGTTTTTCTCAGGTTTGCTAGGCTCCCATATGCTGCAGCAGTTATGTGGGTTATGTGTGCTTCCGGAGACGTGTTCGGTGTTATACTCACCCCAAGATCTTTCTCCTTGAGCGAGGCTTGCAGTCTTTGGTCACCCAGCCTGTACTCACCTAACTGAGGTTGCACGGGTCGAGTCCTAGCTCCTGGCCCCACCTCTTCACTGGTCGCTACTAGGTCACTCTCCCTGAACCGTGAGCTTTATCATACCTCTGCTTAAAGCTATGTATGGATCCTGCCTCCACTACATCGCTTCCCAAACTATTCCACTTCCTGACTACTCTGTGGCTGAAGAAATACTTCCTAACATCCCTATGATTCATCTGTGTCTTCAACTTCCAACTGTCCCCCCCTTGTTGCTGTGTCCCATCTCTGGAACCTCCTGTCTTTGTCCACCTTGTCGATTCCTCTCGTATTTTGTATGTCGTTATCATGTCCCCCCTATCTCTCCTGTCCTCCAGTGTCGTCAGGTCGATTTTCCTTAACCTCTCCTCGTAGGACATACTCCATAGCTCTGGGACTAGTCTTGTTGCAAACCTTTGCACTTTCTCTAGTTTCTTTACGTGCTTGGCTAGGTGTGGGTTCCAACCTGGTGCCGCATACTCCAATATGGGCCTAACGTACACGGCGTACAGGGTCCTGAACGATTCCTTATTAAGATGTCGGAATGCTGTTCTGAGGTTTGCTAGGCGCCCATATGCTGCAGCAGTTATTTGGTTGATGTGCGCTTCAGATGTGCCTGGTGTTATACTCGCCCCAAGATCTTTTTCCTTGAGCGAGGTTTGTAGTCTCTGGCCCTAGACTATACTCCGTCTGCGATCTTCTTTGCCCTTCCCCAATCTTCATGACTTTGCACTTGGTGAGGTTGAACTCCAGGAGCCAATTGCTGGACCAGGCCTGCAGCCTGTCCAGATCCCTTTGTAGTTCTGCCTGGTCTTCGATCGAATGAATTCTTCTCATCAACTTCACGTCATCTGCAAACAGGGACACTTCGGAGTCTATTCCTTCCGTCATGTCGTTCACAAATACCAGAAACAGCACTGGTCCTAGGATTGACCCCTGTGGGACCCCGTTGGTCACAGGTGCCCACTCTGACACCTCGCCACGTACCATGACTCGCTGCTGTCTTCCTGACAAGTATTCCCTGATCCATTGTAGTGCCTTCCCTGTTATCCCTGCTTGGTCCTCCAGTTTTTGCACTAATCTCTTGTGTGTGTGTGTGTGTGTGTGTGTGTGTGTGTGTGTGTGTGTGTGTGTGTACATTTCCAAGGTTATATATATACTGTTCATGTACACATTATGTTAATCATAATCATCTCTAATTAAATGAATTATTCTGAGAGACGAGAGGAGGGGGCAGGGAGATGAGAGGGAGGAGGGGGCAGGGAGACGAGAGGGAGGAGGGGGCAGGGAGATGAGAGGGAGGAGGGGGCAGGGAGATGAGAGAGAGAAAGGGGACAGGAGATGAGAGAGAGAAGGGGACAGGAGATGAGAGGGAGAAGGGGGCAGGGAAGATGAGAGGGAGAAGGGGGCAGGAAGACGAGAGGGAGAAGGGGGCAGGAAGACGAGAGGGAGAAGGGGGCAGGAAGAGAGAGGGAGAAGGGGGCAGGAAGATGAGAGGGAGAAGGGGCAGGAAGACGAGAGGGAGAAGGGGGCAGGAAGAGAGAGGGAGAAGGGGGCAGGAAGAGAGAGGGGAGAAGGGGGCAGGAAGACGAGAGGGAGAAGGGGGCAGGAAGACGAGAGGGAGAAGGGGGCAGGAAGACGAGAGGGAGGAGGGGCAGGAAGACGAGAGGGAGGAGGGGGCAGGAAGACGAGAGAGGTTAGTTAGGTCTGTCAGGAAACAGGACAATGTCTCCTGACGCGGGTCTTAGATGATGACCCGTCACCAGAGCTTATGGTCATGGAGAAAGATGAGAAGGTGGGATGGAGAAAGAGAGATAAGAGAGAGGGAGGGGAGGGAAGATGAAAGTGGAGGGGGGGGGGAAGAATGGGTGGGAAGGGGGTGAAGAGGGGTGGGGGTTGAGGGAGAGGAAGGGATCAACATTGTACACCTGCAGTGTACCATAGTTCCTACACTAACATAATGGAGTGCTCAACATAACACGCACACCTTCACTGCTATTTTAAACTATAACCTCTGCAGATACTTTGAGAATTTCATAATTATCATAGCAAAAAAATACATAATGCCTTTCCAGTATAATGTTTCTTGAGCCCACGTGAGAGAAAGATGAATTTAAAACAAAAATGTTGTGTACAGATGAAAGGAAATTTTCTGCACTTCCTAGGGCTCCAAGTTTATTGTTAATAGCGTTTAATATTGTAAAATCTATGTAGCATGTGGAAATTATTGGTTTATTTGTCGAGATATATATATATATATATAAGATGTTGGCCGTCTCCCACCGAGGCAGGGTGACCCACAAAAGAAAGAAAATCCCCAAAAAGAAAATATTTTATCATCATTCAACACTTTGACCTCACTCATACATAATCACTGTCTTTGCAGAGGTGCTCAGATACGACAGTTCAGAAGTTCCTCCAAACTGCCAATATCCCAAACCTCTTCTTTAACGTGCAGGCATTGTACTTCCCATTTCCAGGACTCAAGTCCGGCTAACCGGTTTCCCTAAATCCCTTCACAAATATTACCCTGCTCACACTCCAATACCTGTGAATGTATGTACTACAATACCTGTGAATGTATGTACTACAATACCTGTGATTGTATGTACTACAATACCTGTGATTGTATGTACTACAATACCTGTGAATGTATATGACTCACCAGCTGCTTGACGCTGACACCAGCCAGCTCCTCCTCGTCAGTGAGAGGAACAGTAGCAGCAGCAGGCAGAGGCCTCCTGATCGTCTTCTCCTCCCTGTTGTAAACCTCCACTAGATTATGGAACTCCTCCTTGCTGAAGGATTCATAGTCGCTGTGTTCATCTCTGTCACTCGAGGTGTCCTCCTCCTCCTTGGAATGAGTATCCTGGTGAGCCAAGCCATTAGTGACGGCGTGACCATTGAAGAGTGGAGGTGTGGGAGGTGCTACTTCGTCTTGACTCTCTTGACGGCTGCTACTGCTGCTGCTTGACCCCTTTACGTCATAAACAACACAACTGTCAACACTAGCACTTTGCATGTTACACAACTGTTTACACAGATTCCAAGCGGGTTTAGCACCTCCGTGAAAGTAAGCTGCAAGGTCATTATTGAGTTCAGGTCCAGGTCTGAGTTGAACAATATTCTATTCCTTAGAATGTCCAATATTAAATGAGTTAGGTGGGTTTATGTTGTGGAATTAGAAATGTAACCTAAGGATACCCAAACTAAAACAACCTAATGTACTCCAACCTTACTTGGCCAATGGTAGATATGAGAATTGGCACATCTCTATATGCATTCAATACATCTTCCTCTACGCTGCTGTGACTGACCTAGCACACTACATGACTCAATAACTACTAACTGTTGACTGGCTCATGTCAAAATAAATGTTTTATATTTGCTAACACTGCATCACCCAATACAGATGAGGTATAGATGATATGTTTGTATTTTACATAATAAAATAATATGCGAGTCTTGACCAGGACCTGAACTCAATATTGACCAGTTACAGATGTGAACTACGAATAAAGCCATATTGCAGAAGATTATGTCACGGTGTACAAATAAAGCATAATTTGGGAAGGGAACCTTAGGTGAGGTTTAGGTCTCTACTGAACCATTACCCAGCCAAGACCTTCACACTGGTCCACCACACACTCATACATCACCTTAAGTTTCCTTTGCAAATTGTGGAGGAATATTAGAGAACTTAAATGAATAACTCATGAAACACCATGAAAACTGAGTTACTATAAGTAGGTAACTAGAGAGACTGTTGAGGTAAACTAGACACTAGAGAGGTAAACTAGAGACACTGTTGACGTACAGATTGTTGAGGTAAACTAGAAACACTGCTAAGGTAAACTCAGTATAGTGTATTTTCAACAACTTGAAGGAAGGAATACTGGGATATATACATGTTTCAAATACTTGGACCCAATTTAAAAGCAAACTGACTTGAAATTGGGACCATCTTTTAGAAACACACTGAAGCAATCATCTACACACTGTATTATCCTGAGAAATCTTCAATACAACAAGTTATTACAGAATGACATACAAAAAAAAATCACAATCTTAGCAGTTTTATATATATTAATAATCTGACGTAATAATATCTAAATCATATGTTTTAAGGTAAGTAGGAACATGATGATGGTGATGATGATGATGATGATGATGATCATGATGATGATGACGACTATGATGATGATCAAACTAAATTACTACGATTAGAATTATATTAGAGATAACACAGAACGTTGTTATTTCATATATATATATATATATATATATATATATATATATATATATATATATTATATATATATATATATATAATATATATATATATATATATATATTAAATTAACACATCGGCCGATTCCCACCAAGGCAGGGTGGCCCGAAAAAGAAAACTTTCATCATTCACTCCATCACTGTCTTGCTAGAGGGATGCTTTACACTACAGTTATAAAACTGCAACATTAACACCCCTCCTTCAGAGTACAGACACTGTACTTCCCATCTCCAGGACTCAAGTCCGGCCTGCTGGTTCCCCTGAATCCCTTCATAAATGTTACTTTGCTCACACTCCAACAGCACGTCAAGTATTAAAAACCATTTGTCTCCATTCACTCCTATCAAATACGCTCACCCATGCTTGCTGGAAGTCCAAGCCCCTCGCACGCAAAACCTCCTTTACCCCCTCCCTCCAACCTTTCCTAGGCCGACCCCTACCCTGCCTTCCCTCCACTACAGATTTATACACTCTCGAAGCCATTCTGTTTCGTTCCATTCTCTCTACATGTCCGAACCACCTCAACAACCCTTCCTCAGCCCTCTGGACAACAGTTTTGGCAGTCCCTCACCTCCTCCTAACTTCCGAACTACGAATTCTCTGCATTATATTCACACCACACATTGCCCTCAGAAATGACATCTCCACTGCCTCCAGCCTTCTACTCGCTGCAACATTCATCACCCATGCTTCACACCCATATAAGAGCGTTGGTAAAACTATACTCTCATACTTGCCCCTTTTTGCTACCAAGGACAAAGTTCTTTGTCTCCACAGACTCCTAAGTGCACAGCTCACCCTTTTCCCCTCATCAATTCTATGATTCGCCTTATCTTTCACAGACCCATCCGCTGACACGTCCACTCTCAAATATCTGAATACATTCACCTCGCATTCACTTCTCTTACAACCCCATCTATAAATATATTGAACAACCACGGTGACATCACACATCCTTGTCTAAGGCCTACTTTTACTGGGAAATAATCTCCCTCTCTCCTACATACTCTAACCTGAGCGTCACTATCCTCGTAAAAGCTTTTCACTGCTTTCAGTAACCTACCTCCTACACCATACACCTGCAACATTGTCGCCCTATCCACCCTGTCATACGCCTTTTCCAAATCCATAAATGCCACAAAAACCTCTTTACCCTTATCTAAATATTGTTCACTTATATGTTTCACTGTAAACACCTGGTCCACACATCCCTTACCTTTCCTAAAGCCTCCTTGTTCATCTGCTATCCTACTCTCCGTCTTACTCTTAATTCTTTCAATAATAACTCTACCATACACTTTACCAGGTATACTCAACAGATTTATTCCCCCTATAATTTTTGCACTCTCTTTTGTACCTTTTGCCTTTATATAAAGGAACTATGCACGTTCTCTGCCAATCCCTAGGTACCTTACCCTCTTCCATACATTTATTAAATAATAGCACCAACCACTCCAAAACTTTATCCCCACCTGCTTTTAACATTCCTATCTTTATTTCATTAATCCCAGCTGCCTTACCCCTTCATTCTATCCACTGCCTCACGAACTTCCCCCACACTCACAACTGGCTCTTCCTCACTCCTACAAGATGTTATTCCTCCTTGCCCTATACACGAAATCACAGCTTCCCTATCTTCATCAACATTTAACAATTCCTCAAAATATTTCCCCCATCTTCCCGATACCTCTAACTCTCATTTAATAACTCTCCTCTCCTATTTTTAACTGACAAATCCATTTGTTCTCTAGGTTTCCTCAACTTGTTAATCTCACTCCAAAACTTTTTCTTGTTTTCAACAAAATTTGTTGATAACATCTCACCCACACTCTCATTTGCTCTCTTTTTACGTTGCTTCACCATTCTCTTAACCTCTCTTTTTTTCTCCATATACTCTTCCCTCCTGCATCACTTTTACTTCGTAAAAACTTCTCATATGCTAACTTTTTCTCCCTTACATCATCATTCCATCAATCGCTCCTCTTCCCTCCTGCACCAACTTTCCTGTAACCACAAACTTCTGCTGAACACTCTAACACAACATTTTTAAACCTATCCCATACATCTTCGACCCCCATTGCCTATGCTCTCATTAGCCCATCTATCCTCCAATAGTTGTTTATATCTTACCCTAACTGCCTCCTCTTTTAGTTTAAAAACCTTCACCTCTTTCTTACTTGATGCTTCTATACACAAATAACCCGCACATAGAAGAGAGGAGCTTACGACGACGTTTCGGTCCGACTTGGACCATTTACAAAGTCACACTGTGACTTATGTGTATTGTTCCAGTCACGGTATTGTGCCTTTTTTTGTTATTGATGCTTCTATTCTCCTTGTATCCCATCTACCTTTTACTCTCACTGTAGCTACAACTAAAAAGTGATCTGATATATCTGTGGCCCCTCTATAAACATGTACATCATGAAGTCTACTCAATAGTCTTTTATCTACCAATACGCAGTCCAACAAACTTGTCATTTCGCCCTACATCATATATTGTATACTTATTTATTCTCTTTTTCTTAAAATATGTATTACCTATAACTAAACCCCTTTCTATACAAAGTTCAATCAAAGGGCTCCCATTATCATTTACACCTGGCACCCCAAACTTACTTACCACACCCCTCTCTAAAAGTTTCTCCTACTTTAGCATTCAGGTTCCCTACCACAATTACTCTCTCACTTAGTTCAAAGGTTAATATACATTCGCTTGACATCTCCCAAAATCTCTCTCTCCTCTACACTCCTCTCTTGTCCAGGTGCATACACGCCTATTATGACCCACTTCTCGCATCCAACCTTTACTTTAATTCACATAATCCTTGAATTTACACATTTATATTCTCTCTTCTCCTTCCATAACTGATCCTTCAACATTATTGCTACCCCTTCCTTTGCTCTAACTCTCTCAGATACTCCTGACTTAATCTCATTTATTTCCCCCCACCGAAACTCTCCTACCCTCTTCAGCTTTGTTTCGCTTAGAGCCAGGACATCCAACTTTTTTTCATTCATAACATCAGCAATCATCTATTTCTTGTCATTCGCACTACATCCACGCACATTCAATTATTATTATAATCAAGGGGAAGCGCTAAACCTGTAGGATTATGCATCCACGCACATTCAAGCATCCCAGTTTTATAAATGTTTTAAAAAACACAGCATGACAAAAATATGTTAAAAGTGAGTTAAGTCATTCTATGCAAACTTAAAAGTTTCTACTCATTAACACACAACAGTTGCTTGATAAACAGGAAGCAACACACACACACACACACACACACACACACACACACACACACACACACACACACACACACACACACTACGTGCAAGTGAAGGTAACATTATCAGGAACCTTAGATAGTCTGACACCTTCAAGGGTTCTTGATCCAAGCAACTGAAGCTAATCTCCCCTTTATCAGGAGTTGTATGGTCCATACGGTTTTAGCTCTTCCTTAATTATATAATAATAATAATAATAATAATAATAATAATAATAATAATAATAATAATAATAATAATACATAATAATACATACATTATTTAATTTTTAACATTACCGTTTGACAAAAGGTCAGCCTCTACCCTCACAAAACTTATATTAACACTCCTTAACATATGTGAGACGTATGTGAGAGGTGTGTGAGAGGTGTGTGAGGTGCGAGGTGGTGAGA